CCTCCTCCCTCCTCCTCATCATCATCATCATCATCATCATCATCATCATCATCATCATCATCATCATCATCATCAGCATCATCAGCATCACATCATCTCATCGCATCATCATCATCATCATCATCATCATCATCAGCATCAGCATCAGCATCATCATCATCATCATCATCAGCTTCATCATCATCATCATCATCATCATCATCAGCATCATCATCCTCATCCATTTTCTCCTCTTCCTCTTCCTCCTCCTCCTCTTCCTCCTCCTCCTCCTCTCGTCCTCGTCCTCGTCCTCCTCCTCCTCTCCCCTCCGTCTCTCCTCTTCCTCCCCTCCTCCTCCTCCTCATCCTCCTCATCCTCATCATCATCATCATCATCATCATCATCATCATCATCATCATCATCATCATCATCATGATCATGATCATCATCATCATCATCATCATCATCATCATCATCAGCATCAGCATCAGCATCATCATCATCATCACCATCATCATCCTCATCCTCATCCCCATCCTCATCCTCATCCTCATCATCATCATCATCATCAGCATCATCATCATCATCAACATCATCAGCCTTGTCCACTTCCATTCCTTATAAGAAATTCCTCCACGTCGCACACCGAGGCCAGTCGAGAAGGCGGGCTGGGCGTTTCGCCTGATGTATGTCCCTGAAGCTTCAAAATTGGCAGCTTCACAGATGGAGGGCGGGTGGTTTTCAAAATGTGACTCTCGCCTCGGCGCCGCGCACATTTGTTTCAAGATATGTGCAAGAGAGTTTCACGGATTGAGGGCAGATGGCTTTCAACATGTACCTCTCGCCTTAGCGCCGCGCACTCTCGTCTAAAACGTGCCAGAGTTTCACGGATTCAGGGCGGGCCGTTTTCATAGTTTGGCGCTCGCCTTGGCGCCGCGCACATGATTTCAAACGGATTGAAGGCGGTTCCTTTTCAAGATGTTGCTCTCGCCGTAGCGCCGCGCACATTCGCCTTAAAAAATTGAGAGAAGTTCACAGTTTCCCATGGACTTTGAGAGCGGTTCACGGCTTTCAAGGTGCGACAGTTTCGTTGATTCGCGGTGTTGAAGTCCCAGGAATGATATGTTCTGGCACGGTTCAGGATCGTCAAGAAGCAAGCATCAAACTGACTAGAGGAGTTGAAGTTCCGAGAATCCTGTTTTGGCACGCCTCAGGATCTTCAAACAGTTGTCTCCCAACGGAGAACTTCCCTCAGTGGAAATGAATCCTTGTAGGGGCCTATGAAAACGGAGCTTGGGGGAAGGGTTTATTCCAAAATCGTAAATAAGTCTTGGGTTAGCACTGGTCCTCATCCTCCTTCTCCTCCTCCTCCTCATCCTCCTCCTCCCGAGCGTGTTTCACCGGATCCGCGGAACAAATCTGTGCGCGCCAAAAGTGGACCCCTGTGGAAAGTGCTGGCTGAGTGCTTGCTTTTCGGGGGCCTGCTGGACGGGAGATAGGTTTCGGAGATCTACCGACCCAGGTCAATCCAGACCCGGTCAGTCAACCCTTGCAGAATCCTGCAAGATCCTGCAGGACTCCTGCACCCAAAACCTGGTCAGAGCAGCCCCGGCTCTGCAGGATCCTGCATGATCCGCCGCTCTGACTGACCCCCGTTTGCACTGACCCCCGTCTCATGTCGGTGGCGAGCGAGGGGGGGAAACGAGAAGGAGAAGGCCTTCTGAGAAGACACACAAGACCTCTCAGAAGGCCTCTGGTCTTCTGAGGTCTTGTGGGTCTTCGGGAAAGGCTCAGAAAACTTCTCGGAAGGCTGGGGGTTGGGGGACCTCCGAGCCTTCTGAGGAGACCTTCTCCTTCTCACTTCCCCCCCTGGCTCGCCGCCGATCAAAGCTCCCGAAAAGAAGAACAAAAACGCATAAACATAAACTGTTGGCGCTCCGCGCGGGTTTCTTGGATCCGCGCTGGACCCCCCTCGCTGGCGCCGGAGGCTCCGCCGGGGGGGCCCAGCGCGGATCCAAGAAATCCCTGCGGAGCGCCAAAAGTTTATGTTTACGTATGGCGTTTTCTTCTTCGACCTTCGCTCACCGCCGATCAAGGCTCCCGAAGGTTGAGGGAGGTCGTGCCGCTGGGGCTCTGAAGCGAATTACACAGTCCTTACCGTTAGGTCGGGCATGTCCCTCTACAGGCGGCTTTTGGACCAAAAATGAAAAATCAAACAAATATTCAAATATGGTCAAACAATAGTCGAATCATTGTCCCCAGACTGTTTTATTGACAATTTTTGAATATTCCTCCTGTAGAGGGGCACGCCCGACTCAACCTTACTGCCGTTAATGCCGAAGCGCTGGCCACGGGCACTTCCTGGCGAGCCCTTGTCCAGGCCCAGGAGCCCTGGCCCGCCCAGTCGGCCGAGCCCGAGGCTGGCCAGCCCTCGAGCGACGACCACGCAGACCTCTGCGCCTACCATTCGGTCGGGCATGTCCCCCTACAGACGGATTAAGGGCGAAAGCTCAAGAAGAGTTAAAATATGTTTCCACACAAGAGCTTGTTTTACAAAAAAAGAAACGTCCCCAGACTATATGTTTACTATTCTGCATGTCCCCTATAGGGGGACGGGCCCGATTGAAGCCTACCAACCGGAGCTCTGGGCACGGTGCACCCGGTGGAAGAGCTCGGGGTGCTGGGCGACGCTGGTGTCGTTCCAGACGACGTACCCCGGGGACAGGGGCTCCTGCCGCAGCGCGGCGCGGCGCGGCTCGACTGGCGGCGGCGGAGGTAGAGAGGGGAGCGAGGGGGGCGGCCTGGAGGGAGCGGCCCTCCTCCTCCTCCTCCTCCGCCTCCTCCTCCTCCTCCTCCTCCGCCTCCTCCATCAATCCATCCATCCATCCATCCATCCATGCATCCATCCATCTTCCTCCTCACCGGAGGAGGGAACAAGGAGGAATGCACCGAGGAGGCAGGAGGCAGAAGGGAGGAGGAAGGAGAGAGGAATGAGCGGAGGAGGACAGGGGAGGCAGAGGTGAGGAGGCAGGAAGAGGAGGAAAAAGGGACAAGTAAAGAGGGAGGGAGGGACGCTCGCGTGTGCGCCGGGGCGCGGTCCCTCTGGGAACGGAGCGGTGGCGCCGTGGCGCCAAGATACTGTGGTGTCATGCATTCGCGAAACATGTAAATAATAGGTGCATCCGAGGGGAGGGAGGGAGGAGGGAGAAGCATCCTTGTTGTCGGAATCGTTGTGTGTGCGTGTCGTGGATAATGATGCCGTCGTTGATGCTTCATACTCGTATGGTCACATGGCAGCAGTCTCAAATTTGGGAGCTGGAGTCGGAGCCGGAGTCGGACAGATGGGATCTAGGAATTGAGCCGGAGTCGGAGAAACGAGATAGGATGGGAGCCGGAATCGGAAAAATCAGAGCCGGAGCCGGAGCCGGGGTCGGAAAGATGTGAGCCGGGGTCGGAACGGGTGTCGGAGAGATGGGATCCGGCGTCGGAGCCGGAGTCAGAAATATGGGATGGGATAGTCTGAAATTCGGGAGCTGGAGTCGGAGCCGGAGTCGGAGAGATGGGATCCAGGATTGGAGCCGGAATCGGAGATGAAGGCCACATCCGCCTATCTCTGCTGAGCCTTCTTCTTCTGCAGCCCATCATACCGCTCCCTGTAGTCGATAGCGTGGTGTGATGGTGCCACGTCGCTGGGTAGGAGTCTGTCTTGGTCGTCTGTGCTGGGTTTGGTGTTGGTGTTGGCGCAAGGCGTCTGTAGTCGGTGTTGTAGTAGTTGGTAGTTGGTGGTCGGTGCTTGTGGTCGCGTGGTCGGCCGTCAGTGCTGCATGGCTAGAATCATGCAGCGACGAAGGCTCTCTCGAGTGAGTTTCACCATGTTAGCCACCTTACATCGTTGGTGTCGCGGTGGAGGTTTCGTCGTGGTCGGGTGGCGCCGTCGTTGGCGTCGTGTTGCGTGTCATCGTCGCTTGTCTGTCGATGCACATTGTGTAGGAACTTCCGCAAATCGTCGTCCCATCGTTTGTGCTGGCCACCGTGCTGTCGGTAACCCTGTTGTTTTGTGTCCCTATTGGGATTCCATCTCAGAGCTCGCTGTGTCCACCTGTTTGGTGGGAGGGTCGCTGCTCGTGCTGCCCACTGCCGAACCATTTTGCGATGCATTTGGGTGACGTCTGGGATGTCGTGCATGCTCATGAGTTCCTCCGCTCTGCGGGTGCACCCGCAGATGTAGTCAGACCAGAGTTCGGCATCGTCTGCCGCCTGCTGGCGTGTCTGGGTCGTGTGGGGTGGGTCGATGCTGTCGTCACTTGTTTGGGGTGGGTCTGATGGAGTCGGCGGGTCGCTGAAAGCGTCGTGGTCGCTGGAGTCGTCAGGAGATGATCGTTGTCAGAGTTACCCGTCGCTGGGATAGCATAAGCTGACGAAACTGCTGACGTGTGAGTGTCGCCGCGGTGTCCCGATAATCGCTCTGACCATCCGTCGTTGCGTGCGGCGCAACTGCTCTTTGAGGGGTTCTGTTATTGTCCATAACTCTGCGCCGTACATCATTGCGGGCATGACGGTGCCACGGTACAGTCGTAGTCTGTGTTCGAGTGGGTAGTGTTTGCTCGTTAGTTCCTGTCTGTGCCCTGTGAAACACGCCCATGCCGCTTGGATGCGATGCTGGATATCGGCCGCCGATACGTCTTGAAAAATTATGGTCTGGCCGAAATACTTCAGTTTTCCGAAAGGTGGTAATACTTCGATGTCCATGGTTACAACTCTCGCCGAACGCGACCAGGTCCTGGTCCGGTTTGTCCTGATCGTTGTGTTGGTCGGGTGAATCTCAAGGCCGTGAGGAGCTGCTGCCTTGATTAAGTCCCCAAGCAGTGTCTTCAAATTGGGTAGTGTCTGACTGACCAGGAGGATGTCGTCGGCGAAGCGGGTGTTGATAAGAACAGATTCGTCGGTGTGCGCTAATTGTATTCCTCGTCGTCGTCGCTGCCAATCCAGAATGAATGAGAGGTTCCAGGGCGTGCTGCAGCAGAGCGTTAAATTATCCCAGTGCGACCCTACCTAGGAGTTGGAGCCCCTAGGAAAGCAGCATTAGCAGTAACAGGGAAGCTAAGCTAAAGCTAAGCTAAAGCTAAGCTAAAGCTAAGCTAAAGCTAAGCTAAAGCTAAGCTAAAGCTAAGCTAAAGCTAAGCTAAAGCTAAGCTGAAGCTACGCTAAAGCTAAGCTGAAGCTACGCTAACACTAAGCTAAAGCTAAGCTAAAGATAAGCTGAGGCTAAGCTAAAGCTGAGCTGAAGCTAAGCTAAAGCTAAGCTGAAGCTAAGCTAACGCTAAGCTAAAGCTAAGCTAAAGTTAAGCTAAAGCTAAGCTAAAGGTAAGCTAAAGCTAAGCTAAAGCTAAGCTGAAGCTAAGCGAAAGCTAAGCTAAAGCTAAGCTAAGGCTAAGCTAAAGCTAAGCTGAAGCTAAGCTAAAAGTAAGCTGAAGCTAAGCTGAAGCTAAGCTGACACTAAGCTAAAAGCTAAGCTAAAGCTAAGCTAAAGCTAAGCTAAAGCTAAGGTGTAGCTAAGCTAAAGATAAGCTAACACTAAGCTGAAGCTAAGCTGAAACTAAGCTAAAGCTAGGCTAAAGCTAAGCTAACACTAAGCTAGAGCTAAGCTAACACTAAGCTGAAGCTAAGCTAAAGCTAAGCTGACACTAAGCTGAAGCTAAGCTAACACTAAGCTGAAGCTAAGCTAAAGCTGAGCTAAAGCTAAGCTACGGCTAAGATAACACTAAGCTAACGCTAAGCTGAAGCTAAGCTGAAGCTAAGCTAAAGCTAAGCTAAAGCTAAGCTAAAGCTAAGAAGCTAAATCTAAGCTAAAGCTGAAGCTAAAGCTAAAGCTAAAACTAAGCTAAAGCTAAGCTAAAAAGCTAAGATAAAGCTAAGCTAAAGCTAAGCTAAAGCTAAGCTAAAGCTAAGCTAAGGCTAAGCTAAAGCTAAGCTAAGCTAAGCTAAAGCTAAGCTGAAGCTAAGCTAAAGCTAAGCTGAAGCTAAGCTAAAGCTAAGCTGAAGCTAAGCTAAAGCTAAGCTAAAGCTAAGCTAAAGCTAAGCTGAAGCTAAGCTAAAGCTAAGCTAAAGCTAAGCTAAAGCTAAGCTAAATCTAAGCTAAAGTTAAGCTAAAGCTAAGCTAACATAAAGCTAAAACTAAGCTAACATGAAGCTGAAGCTAAGCTAACACTAAGCTAAAGCTAAGCTAACACTAAGCTGAAGCTAAGCTACAGCTAAGCTAACACTAAGCTGAAGCTAAGCTAAAGCTAAGCTAACACTAAGCTAAAGCTAAACTAAAGCTAAGCTAAAGCTAAAGCTAGAGCTAAAGCTAAGCTAAAGCTAAAGCTAAGGCTAAAACTCCCAGGGGACTGGGGGAACCGCGGGGCGGGGACTGGGGGAACCGCCCGGGGCGTGTAGCACTGCCCGGCCCCTTTAAGCTAGAGAGTAAGAACCCTTCTAGGCAGAGCCTAGGTAGGGAAAAAGCAGTGAGCTCAAAGGGTTTCCTTGCTTTGTGCCTCGTCTGAGCTTGAAAGGTTTACTGGTGGAGTCGGTGCGGACAAAACCCTTCTGGTCGCGGTAGAGACGCTGGAGCAGGTGGACGTACTCGGGTTGCACGCCTTGTCGTCGTAGTGCTGTCCATAGGCTGCTGTGCTCTACTGTGTCGAACGCTTTCTTAAAGTCTACGGCAGCAATCCACAGGGTCTGGTTCCATTCGGAAGCTCGCTCTCGCAAGATGTTGAAAGTGAAGAGGTGGTCGCGCGTGCCGCGTCCAGGTCTGAATCCCGCTTGGTCGTCGGGCTGGCGTTGTTCAAGGACTGGCTGTAATCTGTTGTAGAGCAGACGACTGAATAGTTTGTATAGCATGGGTATCGTACAGATCGGGCGGAAAATCTGTGGAAGAGTAAAGAGGGAGGGGTGAGCGAGGAGAGAAGAGCGAGAAGATGTCATGCGACGCGGGAGAGGCCAAGGGCCTGATTAGCCTCGGAGCTGTTCGAGCTGATAATCAAAGGTCCCTGAAAGCTCTGCAGCCCCTTCAGAAGAATTCCCCACGCCGTCGCTGGGGTCCGTTTGACAGCGCGGCTCTCCCAAGACCCGCGCCTCGGGAATCGCCGGCCTCCAGCAGGCGAGAGGGGAACGATCAGCCAGGACTGAGCAAGGATTCTAGACTCTGGGTGGGTCTCGCGCATGATCGGAGCATAGGCCCCCCAGCTTGGCACGCTCGATCCCCCAGGGGGGGGTTGTGGACACTTTCCCGCCTCGGCGACGACGACCCGTGACGCCGAGGACGAGGACGAGGACGACCGAGCGCAGCGACGACGGACAACGGCGGAATGGGGCAAGGATGGAAGGACGGGAAGAAGGACGCGCCGACGGAAGGATGGCTCGACAGCGCCCCGCAGCCCCGCGCTGGTCCTTCTGCAGGCAAATCGAGAACATCCTCGGAGGCGCCGACGGGGGAGGCCTTCGACAACTCCCCCTCCTCCCCCTCCTCCTCCTCACCCGTTTCCTCCACTTGCTACTCCCGCGTCCACTGGGATACCCGTCGGAAAGAACTCCTCACTCATGTATGCATAAGCAAAACCTGAGAAACAGAAACATACACGATGAGCACCTCCTCACCCTGCTCCTCGTCCTACTCTTCCTCCTCCTCCTCTTCCTCCTCCTCCTCATCCTCCTCACTCTTCGCATCCCTCAGCTCCTCCTCCTTCTCCCTCTCCTCTACCACCTCATCTTCCTCCTCCACCTCCTCCTCCTCCGCCTCCTCCTCCTCCTCCTCCTCCTCCTCCTCATCCTCATCCTCATCCTCATCCTCATCCTCATCCTCATCATCATCATCATCATCATCATCATCATCATCATCATCATCTGCCGCCTCGTCTTTCTCCTCCTCCGCCTCCTCCTCCTGTTCATCTTCCTCTTCCTCCTCCACCTCCTCCTCCTCATCATCATCATCATCATCCTCATCAACATCATCATCATCCTCACCTTCATCCCCATCGTCAACATCATCGTCATCATCAACATCATCATCATCACCATCATCATAACGAGCATAACCATCATAATCACAATCAGCATCATCATCATCATCAGCATCATCAGCAGCATCATCATCATCATCATCATCAGCATCATCATCATACTCATACTCATCATCATCAGCATCATCATCAGCATCATCATTGTCATCATCATCACCAGCATCAGCAGCATCAGCAGCATCAGCGCCATCATCAGTATCATCGTCATCAGCAGCATCATCCTCATTGCCATCATCTTCATCATCATCATCATCAGCATCATCATCATAATCGCAATCGAAATCAGCATATCAGAATCGGCATGGTCATCATCATCAGCATCATCGGCATCATCTGCATCATCGCCATCAGCATCATGAGCATCAGCATCATGGTCACGATCAGCACTAGCATCATCCTCACTATCATCATCATAAGCATCACCAGCACCATCATCAGCAGCAGCATCAGCATCAGCAACATCATCAGCAGAATCAGCATCAGCAGTATCAGCATATCCATCAGCATCAACATCAGCATCACCAGCATCATCGTCAGCAGCATGGTCATCACTATCATCAACATTTGCATCATCATCATCATCCTCAGCATCATCAGCAACGGCAAATAAATCAGCATTAACATAAGCAGTAGCATTAACATGATCAGCAGCATCAGCATCGATATCAACAGCAACATCACCATCAACACCGTCATAATCAGCATCATCATCGACGTCATCAGCAGCATCAGCATCACCAGCATCAGCTGCAGCATCGTCATCATCGTCATCATCCTCATCAGCAGCATCATCAACCGCATCCTCCTCATCATCATCAGCAGCATCATCAGCATCACCATCATCATCATTGCACTCCTCCTCATCATCAGCATCACCAGCAGCCGCATCACCATCATCAACATCAGCAGCATCAGCATGATCATCATCGTCGCTGCCCTCATCAGCATCGGCGTGAACACCATCAGCATCATCGGCAGCATCGGCATCGTAATCGGCATCACCATTAATCAGCAGCATCCTCAGTATCAGCAGCAGCGTCACCAATAAGCATGATCATCATCATCACCATCATCAGCGGTAGCAGCATTATCATCATCAGCATCAGCATCAGCATCAGCAGTTGCATATTCATCAGGATCATGAGCCATCATCATCAGCATCAGCATTAGCATCATCATCAGCAGTTGCATCAGCATCAGCATCGTCATCATCAGCATCGTCATCGACATCGTCATCGGTATCGGCATCGTCGCCATTGTCGTCGCCAGCAGCAGCAACATGAGCAGTATCAGCATCAGCATCATCATCCTCAACATCATCAACGGCAGCATCATCATCATCAGCATCATCATCATCGTCATCATCATCAGAACCAGCGTCACCAACACCATCATCCGCATCATCATGGTCCTCAGCGTCATCATCAGTATTATCGTCGTCGTCATCATCGTGCCCATGCTCAACTGCATAATCAACCTCATCATCAGCAGCAGCAGTCTCAACATCATTATGCTCCGCCTCCCCCATCCTCATCCTCCTCTTCCCTCTGCCCCGCGTCGTCCTCCTCCTCTTCCCCCCCCTTCTCCTCCTCCTCCTCATCCTCCTCATCCTCCTTATCCTCCTACCTCCGCCTCCCCCATTCCTCCTCCTCCTCCTCTTCCTCCACCTCCTCCTCTTCCTCCTCCTGCTGATGCTCACCGCCCTCGCCCTGATACTACCACTGGTGTTCTTCCCCATCCCTCCCCCCCCCTCAGCCGACAAACCTCCTCCCCTCCTTTTCCTCCACCTCCTCCTCCACCTCCTCCTCCTCCTCCTCCTCCTCCTCCTCCTCCTCCTCCTCCTCCTCCTCCTCCTCCCTCCCCCCCCCTCCTCGTCCACCTCAGCCACCTCCTCCTCAGCCCCCTCCTCCTCCTCCTCCTCTTCCACATCCTCGTCCTCCTCCTCTTCCTCCTCCTCCTCCTCTTCCTCCTCCTCCTCCTCCTCCTCCTCCTCCTCCCTGTCCTTCTCAACAGTATCAGCAGCAGCATACACATTATCATCATCCTCCTCCGCATCCGACACCTCAGCATCATCATCATCATCATCAGCATCATCATCATCATCATCATCATCATCATCCTCATCATCATCATCATCATCATCATCATCATCAGCAGCATCATCATCATCATCATCAGCAGCAGCAGCATCAGCATCAGCATCATCATCCACATCATCAGCATCATCAGCAGCATCATTACCATCATCACCACCATCATCGTTATCATAATCAGCATCATCAGCAGCATCGTCGTCGTCGTGGTCAGCCTCGTCGTCATCAGCATTATCATCAGCAGCGGCAGCGGACTCATCAGCATCATCATCATCAACAGCATCATCAGCATCATCAGCACTACCATCATCATCATCATCAATAGCAGCATCATTATCATCCTCAGTACCATCCCCATCAACATCAACACTACAGTAATCCTCAGCAACAGCAGCAGGAGTGTCGTGCTCATCATCATCGCAGCCGCCATCATCACCAGCAGCGTCAGCAGCAACAGCAGCATCGTCAGCAGCATCATATTCATTATCAGCATCATTATCATCAGCATGAGCATCGTCATCGCAGCCATCACCAGCATAATCATCATCATCATCAGCAGCATCATCATCATTATGAGCATCAATAGCATCAGCAGCAGCATCATAGTCATCATCATCGTCATCAGCAGCATCATGGTCGGCATCGGAATCGTCATCATCATCAGCATCATCAGAATCATCGTTAGCATCATCGTCACCAGCATCATGGGCATCATCATCATCAGCAGCGACAGCATTTGCATCAGCATCAGCATCATCATCAGCATCAGCATCGTCATCAGCATCAGCATTATCATCATCAACTGCATCAGCATCATCATAATCATGATCATAGTCGCCGACGTCGTCGTCTTCATCAGCGTCACCATCATCAACATCAGTATCGTCACCATCCGCATCGCCAAGCAGCATCATCAGCATCAATATCATCATCGTCAGCAGCAGCAGCATCACCATCATAAGCAACATCATCATCGTCAACAGCCACAGCACCATCATCATCATCAGCATCATCAGAATCATCATCGGAAGTACAGCATCATCGTCGTCATCAGCATCATCATCACCACCATCATCATCATCATCAGCATCATCGTTAACAGCACCAGCATCAGCATCAGCATCATCATAATCATCAGCATCAACATCATCTTCGTCGGCATCAGCAGCCAGAGCAACCACATGATCATCAGCATCATCAGCATCAGCATCATAATCATCATCATCATCAATAGCACCATCATCAACAGCATCATCGTCAGCCTTATCATCAGCATCATCAGCATCATCATAAGCATCATCATCATCATCAGCATCATCAACATCACCAGCATCACAATCAGCAGCAGCAGCATCATCAGCAACATCATCATCATCCGCATCATAAGCAACATCATCATCGTCCCCATTCACAGCAGCATCAGCATCAGCAGCATCAGCAACAACAACGGCATGATCATAATCATGATCATGACCCGCATACTCATCCGGATCATCGTCATCAGTGGCATTAGCGGTATCAGTATCAGCGGCATCAGCAGCAACATCAATAGCAGCAGCAGCAATAGCAGCATCCTGATCATCATCAGCATCAGCACCATCAGCAGCAGCATCATCGTCAGCAGCAGCATCATCCTCATCAGCAGCAGCAGCATCATCACCACAACCACCATCATCATCAGAATCAGCATCATCAGCATCATCATAAGCAGCATCAGCTTTACCATCTTCATCAACATCTTCCGTATCAGCATACTCCGTAGCAGCGGTACCATATCAGCAGCAGCAGCAAAATCACCGGCAACAGCAGCAACATCACCAACATCATCATCATTATCAGCAGCATCGACATCACTAGCATCATCAACAACAGCAAAAACAACGCCATCTGCAACAGCAACAGTATCGAAATCACCGTCAACCGCCGCAACATCATCAGCATCATCATCATCAGCAGCATCATCATCCTCATCAGCATCATCATCAGCATCATCATTATCAGCAACACCATTATCATCATCAGATCATCAGCATCGCGATCATCATCATCACCATCAGCATCATCACCATCAGCAGCAGAGTCGACGTCAGCATAATCAACATCCTAATCATAGCAAGCATTATCGTTAGCCTCAGCACAAGCATACTTATCATCAGCAGCCGCAGCACTATCAGCAGCATCATGATTGATAGCAGCAGCAGCAGCAGCATCATCATCATCACCTCCATCGTCGGCGTCGTCTGCAGCGTCAACATCAGCATCAGCATCAGCAGCAGCATCAGCATCATCGCCATCACCATCAGATTCACTAGCGTCGTCATCAGCATCATCCTCATCATCATGGTCAGAATCGGCAGCATCATCATAGTATGCATCAACAGCAGCCACGCATCGTGGTCATCCCAGCTCCATGCTTGCCATCTTCATCAGTAGTATTATCGTCTGACTCCTCCTTCTGCTCATGCTGCGTCTGCTCGTCCGTCTGCCGATCGTTGCTCCCTTCGCTTGCCAATGTTCTTACCCGATCATGATCATCATCGTCATCATCATCATCACCATCATCATCATCATCATCATCATTACACTCGTCAGCAGTATCACCATCATCATCAGCAGCAGTAGCATCATCAGCATCAGCATCAGCATCATAATCCCAATCATCCGCTGTTTAACCACACCTTGTCGTCACATGGTTGCCACGCCTCGTCATCATTCTCTTCGGCTTAATCATACCTATACGACCACCCTACGGGTGATAAGGAGGTTGGGGGGGGAGGTTGCGGCGCGACATTGCACCGTGCATCGGCCCCGGAAGCGGCGCAACACTGTGCGTGGTGGAGGAGAACCTGAGAGAAGACCTCATTCGCTGTCTCATTCGGTCTCACTACCGATCTCACAATCGATATCACTATCGACGTCATCATCATCATCATCATCATCATCATCATCATCATCATCATCATCAACATCTTCATCATCATCATCATCATCATCGCCATCATCAACATCATCTCATCATCATCATTACCATCATCATCATAATCATCACAATCATCATCAACATCATCATCGGGACACCGACGGGACACCGACGGGACACCGGCGGGACACCGGCGGGACACCGCGCGCCACCGGCCGCCCGGCGGAGAATCATTTGGTCCGGCCGCGCCTCAGCCACAGGAGACTTTCCTCTCGCCCGCCCACGCAGCTTCGCCTCGCCCGCACGGCACGCACGAACACGAAACCGAAATCGATTTCCCGGTAGGGGGGCTCTCCGTTCCACTTCGATCTCACCCCCCAACCTCCGATTCCTGCACCTCCTCCTACTCATCATCTGAAATTGGTTGCTGATCGTCGTCCTCACCCTCCTCCTCCACCTCTTCCGCCTCACCCTACACTTCATATTTTGGCGCGTCATCACCACCATCCTCATAAGCTTACTCAATACTCGTCCGTATCATCACATCAACCATAATCCTCATGATGGTGCTGTTTCTGCTGCTCCTGCTCCTCCACCTGCTCATCCCGTCTCCTTCCGTCCCTTCGCCGCATTGTTTTTCGTCGGCACACTGTCCTTATCCGCCTTGTTCTCCTCCTCAAGATCATCTTCCTCATCTTCATATCCCCCTGTCCTCAGCCATCTCTCCATCACCTCCATCCCTCATTGCGGAAGAGACAGGAGGAGGGAGGAGGGGAAAGGGCTCGTTCGCAGGCACGATGGCCCCTTTGGATGACCAGCGCAGAATACATGTGAGTACCTACTACCGCAGTTTGACCTCTCACGTCACGTGGTCCTGCAGGCAATCCTCGAGGGGACGCTTCTGCCTGCACAAAGGAATTGGACGTCCTTGGGATGGGGAGGAGGAGGAGGAGGAGGAGGAGGAGGAAGACCGGTGCAAACCCAAGACGCATCAACGGTGCAAGCCCAAGACGGGGAAAAGCCCCATTTGAAGAGAGAGGTCTGAAAATCACACTTCTTGGGACTGGGACTCCACCACTGCAACGTGACTACTGCGTCCTGACAACCTTCAACCGTACCAGAACACCACCCCTGGGACGTATACCATAGAGAGAGCGTGTTTCACGGGGGCTTGCCTTGGGAACATTCGGCGCCGCGTTTCAAACCGGGGGGGGGCCCGCCCCCAACACTCGGCGCCGTCGATCAAAACCCCCCCAACCCCCCCCTTCCCGAACCCCCCACCCCCACACCCCCTCCCAAGGAGAGGGGGGGGTGTCAAACCCCCCCCCGTCGGCGCCGGCGCCAGCGCTGGCGGCCGCCAGCAGCGCCAACGGCGGGGACGCAGCGACGATCACCAGAGGCAGCCCAGAGGGGGGGGGTTCAAAACCGCCCCCCCTCGGCGCTGGCGCTGGCGGCGGCCAGCAGCGCCGGCAATGGCGCCGGCGACGGCGGGGACGCAGCGACGATTACCACCACTACCGCCACCACCACCAGTACCACGACCACCGCTACCGTCTCAATCCATCAGCACCACACAACCACCAACACCACCACCAGCCACCACCACCACCACAACCACCACCGCAACTCACCATCACCACCACCACAAAAACCTAATCCAGATTCCATAATAAAGTCCAGGGGGTCACATTTGGGGGGGGTCTGATTTTGGCTGTCTTGGAGGGTTCGGGGGGGTCTGGGCAAAGGGCCGCCCTTTCATGGATGGTCTGGGAGGGTCTAAAACGTCACGTCTGGGAGGGTTGAGTCACCCTCCCTTTTATTACGAAATCTGGAGTACCGCCACTACCACAACCACCACAATCTACCGCACCACCACCACCACCACAACCACCACCATTACCAGCAGCACAACCCACCGCCACCACCACAAACCACCACACCACCACCACCACCACCAACGCCACCACCAGCACCACAACAAACGTCCACAAACCACTGCCACCACCACAACCGACCACCACCACCACCACAAACCACCGCCACACCACCACAACCACCACACCACCACAACTCACCATCGCCACCACCACCACGAAAACCCACCACCACTACCACCACCACCAATTTACCACACCACCACCACCGCCACAACCACCACCACTACCAGCAGCACAACCCACCACAACCACCACAAACCACCACACCACCACCACCACCACCACTGCTACCACCACCACCACAAGCACCACCTCCACAAACCACCACCACAACCACAACCAACCACCACCACCACAAACCACCACCCACACACCACCAAACCACACCACCACCACACCCATCACCACCACCACACAAACCACCACCACACCACCACCAAACCACCACCACCACCACCACCACCACCCACCGCCACAACCACCACCACCACCACAACAACAACAAACCACCACACCACCACCACCACCACCACCACAACAAACCATCACACCACCACCACCACACCCACCACCACCGCCACCACCACCACCACAACCCACCACCACCACTACCACCGTCGTCCTCGTCGAAGCTCCCCGCCACCGCCGCCCGCCGCCGCGGGCGCCGGCGCCGGCCAAGAAATGGAAATCGTCGTCCCCGCCGCCGTCGCCAGCCGCCGCCGACCCAAGCGCAGCGCCGGCCCGAGGAGAGGGGAAGCAGGGGGGGGGTTCGAACCCCCCCCTCCGTCACGAGAGAGGGGGGGCGGGTTCGAACCCACCCCCCATCCAGGGGAGAGGGGGGTCCGGTTCCAACCCCCACCCCCTCCAAGCGACCACAGAACGCGCTCTTTCCTACCATACGAGCCCATGAAACTGTTGCAAAGTGACTGAGACGAATGTGCCCAGCGCTGAGGCGATTACCAAAATTTGAATACTTGCCGCCCCCCATCTTTAAAACCGCTGCAAACTGCTAAAATAATATGCGCGGCGCCCAGGCGAGCGCCACATGTTGAAAAATCACCGCTCTGTACCTTGGAACTGTCACACAGGTTACTAAGTCTCACATGAAACGACCACCCCGCCCTACCGAGGTGCGACAGGGAGGAGTTATACATGTATGTATATATATATATATACAAGGAAAAAAGGAATGGAGGAAGAGGAGGAGGCGGCGTCGGAGGAGAATCGAATCCAATTCTACCTGTCCGCATGCCGAGGAAGAGGAGGAGGAGGAGGAGGAGGAGGCCCCTGGGATCCCCCACGCAGAATACGAATATTTAGGGCAGGTTGAACTTTCTCCGTGGTTCAGGGACACTCCTCAAGGGGACACTTCTGCCGGCACGAGGAGAAGGGAAGGCCTCAAGCGTCGACACTCGTTTGAACGTGTTTCTAAAATCGTGGGCCTCCGTGATGTTTATGGTCGCCACGTCTGGACTCCCCTGGAAATTCTGATTGGGACGCACCCTGGGAGCGATCCGCGAGGACTGCTTGGAGGGAGGATGAGGAGGAGGAGGAGGAGGAGGACGGCGACGACGACGACGACCACGACGACTGTCTCTAGGAGTTGTCTGTGAGCTCCTACGCGGTAGACTGCTCCAACTAAGGTCGACGCCCGAAGAATCGCGGCGACCCGCCCAGTGAGGGCCCTCGGGCTTCATGGCCTGGAGGAGGGAGGATGAAGAGGAGGAGGATTAAGAGGAGGAGGAGGAGGAGGAGGATTAAGAGGAGGAACAGAAGGAAGGTCCTCTCCCGAGTGCCCTCCAGCACGGCCGGGTGGTCGCTCAACCACTGCGCCTTCTCGGCCAACGACCACGCCCTATCCCTCAGCGTCTGGTTGACCTTGCTGGACTCCTCCTCCTCCTCCCTCTGCTCCTTCTCCTCCTCCTCCTCCTCCTCCTCCTCCGCCTCCTCCTCCTCCTCGGCATCATCATCATCATCATCATCATCATCATCATCATCATCATCATCATCATCATCATCAGCAGCATCGTCATCGTCATCAGCATCAGCATCAGCATCAGCATCATCATCCGCATCATCATCACCATCATCATCAGCGTCATCAGCATCATCATCACCACCACCACAGTCATCATCAACATCATCAGCATCATCATCATCATCATCATCATCATCAGCATCATCCTCATCATCAGCGTCATCATCAGCGTCATCATCACCACCAAAACCACCACCACCACCATCTTCATCATCGTCAGTAGCAGCAGCAACAGCATCATCCATCGTCGTCGTCAGCATCAGCATCGTCAACCCCATCAACATCAGCATCATCGTCATCATCATCAGCATCATTATCATCAGCATCATCAGCATCAGAAGCATCATCACTATCTTCATCATCATCATCATCAGCATCCTCATCACCACCACCATCATCAGCATCATCATCAGCGCCCGCATCATCGCCATCAGCATCATCACCATCAGCAACATCATCATCATCATCATCATCATCATCATCATCAGCAGCACCAGCATCATCATCATCATCGCCACCATCATCATCAGAATCAACATCATCATCATCAGCATCATGATCATCACCACCATCAGCAGCATCACAATCATCATCATCATCACCACCACCACCATCATCACCAGAAACACCGTCATCGTCACCATAATCAGCAGCATCATCAACATCATCACCATCAACACCATCATTATCATCGTGATCATCGTCGTCAACAGCATCATAATCATGATCCGCATCATCAGCAGCATAAGCATGATCAGCATCAGCATCATCATCCTCATCAGCACAACCATCATCAACCTTAGCATCATCAACATCAACATCATCAACATAAACATCCTATCCGTCGTAAACATCAACACCATCCACACCAACCGCGTCAGCATCGTCTTAGGCATCATCACCAGCATCTTCATCAGCATCATCAGCATCATCATCTCCACCACCATCCACCTCATCATCCTCATCCTCATCCTCATCATCAGCAGCCTGACCATCATCACCATGAACACTACCATCGCCATCTTCACAACAATCACCATAACCATAATCATGCTCAACAACCGTGTTATCATCATCATCAGATTCATCATCAGCACCAGCATCATCATCAGCAGCAGCAACATCATCATCAGCAACGTCATCAGCATCATCATCGGCATCATCATCATCATCGTTGGCATCCTCATCACAGCCATCAGCACTATCGTCATCACAATCATAAGCAGCAGAGAAATCGGCATCATAAGCACAAGCATCATTTACGACATCATCATGTCGTCGACGTCGCCGTCGGCGGCGTCGGTGGCGTCATCGTTATCGTCATCGCCATCGCCATCCTCATCGCCATCGCCATCGCCATCGCCATCGCCATATTCGTCGGCATCGTCGTCGGCCTCGTCGTGGTCGTCGTCATCGTCGTCGTCATGGTCGTCGTCGTCGTCATCGTCGACATCATCACCACCACAGTCATGACCGCTTCGGCGCCCTCCAGGCGGCGGCCTGGGGTCCCGCCCCGCCTGCGGCCGCCCTGGACCAGAGGACACCAGGAACGTGGACGCTTACGCAGCCCGAGGGCTGCGAGTCGTGGACACGTGACCTGTGGAGCCCTACAGCGACGAACGAACAACACGCACACACACACACATACCCATACCCATGGGGGGGTGGGGGCCCCCGCTCGAACGGGAGCCTCCACCGGGGTCCGACAGCCCGCACCCATACCAGCAGCAAGTCCTCATCCCTTCGACACTCCGATGGGTGCGGGTGTGCGTGTTGCTCGCTCGTCATGCATGGACTGCGGCGGAGCCCTACGGTGCTGCGCAGAGGGGGCTGGCGCGCGCGGATCAGCGGGCAACACGCGGCCCTGCCTGGGCACTCGCGCCAGCCGCCCCTGGCGGCCCACAAAGCACAAGGGTCTCGCGAACCGCGGAGGCCAACGCAGGGCGTATCCACGCGCTGGTAGCTGCGGGCCAAAGACCATGCGGACGAGACGGCCCGCTGGGGAGCAGAAGCAAAATCGAAACAAAATCGCATTAGGGTCCCTCGGGCCCTCCACGACCCCAGAACCATCGGAAAAACACTCCGGGTGAACATCTGATCCTGGCGGGTCCCCAGGTCTAGGATAGAGAAACCAAAAACAGCATGAGCACAAGTTCTCTGAAGTCCGCGCGGGTTTCTTGGATGTGAGCGTTTTCTAATTCGGCGTTTCGACATTGGGCAGAAGGGGTGGGGGAGGGGGGGGTCTGGCTCTGGATCTCTCTGCTTCATGCGTCTTTTTGCAAAAGTGCGTCCTGTGGGGGATGAGACCCCACCTTCTCGAAACAGGCGCCAGAAAAAGCCAAAATCTACTCCATAAGTGACTACCTACCAAACCACCCCAACCCGACCCGAAGACCCGAATCTGACCGGGGGGTACGGGTTCCACGTGTTTTTACCATGTTCCCGGACCCCCCCCGACTGGAAATAGAGGGCAAATTGAAGCCTTCGGGTTGGGTTGGAGTGATTTGGCGGGTGGTGAATAGGGGGGGAGGGGGGGGGGTTGCGAGGGCCCGCGCCGATCGGCAAAACAGTGAATGAGAAAACGGCGACACTAGCATCATTTTTCCGAGGCCCGCGCGGCGTTCTTGGACAAGGCACTGGGCTCCCCTCCCCGGGCACGCGCGGAGCACACCAGGGGGCGGCGCCCGAGGCGCCGCCCAAGGGGAGTGCCCAGCGCGCCGGCCCCAGGAGGAGGAGGAGGCCGCGCCGGTGTCTGCGGAGGGTCACGTGGCTGCCGGTGTTTGTGCTCCGACGGGCGCGGCAATCTGCGTCGAGCGTCGCGCTCACGCAGATTCTGCGCCCGCGCCGGGAGCGCAGAGCACGCGAAAGCGCAGGCTGCTCGCGCGCCCGTTTCGAGCCCGCGTGCGGACCAATCCCAGGCGCGCAGTGCACGCGCGTCGGGGCGGCTGCCGCGCGCTCTAACGCGCGCGAGGGCACAGTGTGCGCGTGGAGGTGCGGGGCCGCGGCAAGGACGCGGCAGGACCAGGCTTCCGCAAGAAGATGTAGGTGACCACAGGCGAACCCGACCCCCACCCCCCACGATTGTCAAGGGGCGAAGGGGTCGTTTCGCTCGGGAGCTCCCGAGCGAAGTGACCCCCGGCCCACCCCCCCTTGGAAACCGTGCGGGGCGGGGGTCGGGCTCGCATGTGCTACCAAGCATCGGCAACCCTGGCGAGGACGAGACACTCTATGACTCTGGAGACCACACCGTTCCGCGGCAGCTCTGCATGCCAGACCGATCCACGAGGGCCCTGGGAGGGGTGGGCCGAGGCAGGGCGAAATCGCCACGTGAGAAAAACATAAAAAACATGCAACGCCAGGATCTGAGATTACGTCGTTCCCGTCGTACTTGAGGACCACATACCAGGAATGATTTCGAGCACCCAGAAAAGTACCGAGCGAGCATCGCCTCCCAGGGCCCGACGCGCGAGACCCTCCAGCGTCGGCACGCTCTTGGTACCCGAAACTCTTTCGGGCGATCAGGGCGAAAGCAAGCTGGAACATCCCAAGTCCGAGGGGGGGGCAACCGCAGAGGGCATCTGTACGTCGCCAGCGTGCCCAGCCAGGGCCGTCCTGGCCCCTGGGGTGATGAGGCGTCCTCCCCGCCCCGGCCAGGAGGCTCCGTGCACCGACACCCAAGGCCCAAACTCTCCCTCGCCGGGCACGGTGGCTTCGTGGTGCCGTCTGCGCAAGGCATGCTCCCACGGGGAGGAAGGAGGAGGAGGAAGAGGAGGAGGAGGAGGAGGAGGAGGAGGAGGAGGAGGAGGGACAGGAGGGAGGAGGAGGATGAGGAGGAAGAGGGAGGAAGAGGAGGAGGAAGACGAGTAGGAGGAAGAGGGAGGAAGAGGAGGAGGAGGAGGAGGAGGAGGAGGGCAGAGGAGGAGGGAGGAGGAGGTGTCTTGGTGCCGTCTGCGCAGAGCATGCTCCCCCCAATACAAGAACAGAACAACTGTACACAACACTCGCCGGCCCGACGGGCCAGAGGCGTGCTCTGATCTCTGGCAGCTGGTTTAGAATATTCACCTATACGAAGATGCTTCAGGTGACAAGGAGGTTCGGGGGTGAGGTCCCGAAGTATCACTCAATCGATCTCACTATCGATCTCATGATCGATCTCACGATCGGACTGACAGTCGATCTCATTCGATCGATCTCACAATCGATCTCACGATCGAGATCAGAATCGATCTCACTATCGATGCCACTATTGATCTCACGATCCATCTCACTAGACATTTTAAGATCGATCGCACTATCGATAGCACGATCGATCTTACGACTGATCGATCTCACGATCGATCTTACGATTGATCTCACTATCGATCTCACTGTCCATCTCACTATCGATCTCACTATCGATCTCACTATCGATCGCAAAACCGATATCAGCGTCGATTTCACAATCGATCTCACTCGATCAATCTCACGACCGTTCCCACTGTCGATCTCACTATGGATCTCGCAATCGATCTCAGTATCCCTCTCACTATCGATCTCACCATCGATCACACTAGCGATGTCACTGTCGATATCACGATCGATCTGAGTATCGATCACACTATCGATATCACAATCGATCTCACTGTATCTCATTATCGATCGCACAGTGGATCTCACAATTGATCTCACTATCGATCTCAATATCGATACTACGATCGATCTCACCATCAGACTCACTGTCGATCTCACAACCGATCCCACTATCGATCTCAATATCGATCTCACTATCGATCTAACTATCGACCTCACTATCCCTCTCAAAATCGATCCCAATATCGATCGCACAGTCGATATCATAATTGATCGCGTTATCGATCTCACCATTCATCTTACTATCGATATTACTATCCCTCTCACTATCGATCTCACTATTGATCTCACTGTCGATCTCACTATCGATCTTACGATTGACCTTACGGGACACCACGGGACACCAAGGGCCACCACAGGACACCACGGGACACCACGGGACACCAGCGGGACACCAAGGCGGGACACCCCTGGCCGCCGCCGCACAATTTGGGGGGGAGCGGTCCTTCGGCCCAGCGGCGCCATAGCCAGAGGAGAGATCATTCCTCTTGCCCGCCCACGCAGCTGCGCCTCGCCCGCACGCACGACACGAACACGAAACCGAGACCGATTTCCTGGTGGGGGGGCTCTTCGTTTCACTGCGATCTCAACCCCCCAACCTCTGATTTCTCGCTCGCGCGCACGGGACCGCCCCAGCGATCCCCGGACCAAAAGTAGCCCGACCATTGCGCCCACAACCTCGACCCAGAGGTCGTCGTTTCTCTGCGCGTCGCCGTCGGGGCTCCCAAAAGCGCTCCAAATCCGCGCGGACCTCCAGAAGCGGATGCTTATGACGAGCTGTCACTGGGTTGGGTTTGGCCGGATTGGGCCCGAGGGAGCCGGATCGAGACCAAAGGCATGCCAGCACCAATGCCGAGGCTGGGCCCCCCTCTGGCCCCACACTGGCGGGCGATTGCCCTCCTCAGCTGGGCCCGCCCGTGGCATGAGAGGGCGAGGAGAGAGTCGACGAGCAGGGCGGCACGAGCGATCATGACGATCAGGGCTTTCCGAAGCCCGCCCGAGCCACAGACGACCAACGACCGCGGCGGACATGGTGAGGGGCAACGGTGAGGCGGGGACCAGCTCATGGAGGGAAACATCGGCCTGGAATCGGCGATGAATCACCGACGAATCGGCGATTGGCCCCCGATGGCAAGTCCGTACGGTCCTGGGGGTGGGCTAACCCTGTTGGCAATGAACGGACGATTGGGGGTCGATGCAACCCCCCCCTGCACTATCCCCTCTTGTTGTCGCCCTATCGGGCCGCAAGACGGCCCTCAGGTGGCCGTTCGAGACGATCCAGGCACCCCTGGAAACCAATCGGCGAAGCGCAGCTGCTGGAGGGCACTCCGAGGCTGCAAAACCGCTGGAAACCAACGAAAACGCCCGAAAACCTCGAGCTTCGAACACCCAAAACCTTAACCCCAACGTTTCCCCTGAGCCGATCCCCCCTGCGTAAGCCCTAACCCCAACGTTGCCCTGAGCCTGCCCCCCCTGACGTTTGAGGCCTCCTAGATAGGGTCCGAATAGGTGGGGTCGAAGGATCGCCACATCGCCTATGCATCCGTTATGTATCGGCGATGCGTCGGCGATGCATCGGCGACGTCGGCGATGCATCGACGACGTCGGCGTGGAGGAAAGTGGGACCCACATCGAGCCGCCTCGGCGATGATGCGTCGCGATCCTCCGACCCCGTCTACTCCGACCCCATCTATGACTACGTACCAGACCACCCCAACCCAACTCGAAGACCCGAATTTCGGGTTTGGGGGGTTACGGGTTCCATATGTGTTTTCTCGATGTTCCCCGACCCCCCCCAACTGGAAATGGAGGTCAAATTGAGGCCTTCGGGTTGGGTTGGGGTGGTTTGCTGAGTGGTGAATCTAAGAGGCCTAGAAACGCTGCCCCCGATGCAGAGCCCCGGCGGGTTGGACCTCGCCCTCCGCCCCCAGGCTCGTGGCGAAAAGCTGCGCGCTCCTGCGGGGAGTCGCGACCACGCTGCACGACAGTACATGCCCTGGCCAGGGCCATGCGAAGACGAGGCCAGGACGAGGATAGAATCGGGTGAGGATAAATCGAGAGGAAGGGAGGAGGAGGGAGGAGGAGGGAGGAGGAGGAGGAGGAGGAGGAGGAGGAGGAGGAGGAGGAGGACTTAAGAGGAGGAGGAGGAGGAGGAGAAGCATGATGAGGAGGACGACAAGGAGGAGGAGGCGGCTTTGGAAAATGCCTCGGGGGCCGCGGCTTTCTCAGAGCGTTCCGGAACGCTCTAAGAGCGTTCCGGAACGCTCTGGAACGGATTCATCCTCGTCCTAGCCCCGCCCGATGGTCCCAGGATCCGCGCATACAGGAACAACAACCAACTGCACCAACATCAGCTATCAGACTTCCGACCTGATTTCTTGGATCGGCGTGGACCCCCTCTCGGCGGCGGCGCGCAGATTGAGGCACGCGGGGTTGTCCCGACAGCTTGACCAAGCGCCCCGGCGGCCTGCGGGAATTGCCTCAGTGACCTGGGCCTGCGGGGCTGTCCCAACGGTTTCGCGGTCTGGCTGCCGGAGGACACGCCCCGGCTGGCCGCGACCACTGGCACCGCCCCTCGCACGCCCCGCGCGCTGGGCAAGCGCCGGCCGACTGTGGAAAACAGCACGGACCTCCGAGTGCTGCGTGAGTGCCAGTGCTTGCAAGCTACATACGCTCTCCTGGCTTAGCCTTAGGTCGGGCATGTCCTCCTACAGGCGGATTGTCGACGGAAAATAACAACTAGTCAACACGTCTTCAAAAATCCGCCGACCCTGTCGGCGTGTGGAAGAGGCTGTTCAGCGAAATTGAGCAACGTTGTAGTTGAGTCGAAGGGAAGCCCCTTCCCTTTGATCCCTTCCCCGCCAGGGGGGGGTCCAGGAGTGGTGTCACCGGGGGGTCCCGGGGCAGATACGCCTCCCCCCTGGGCGGTTCGGGGGCCCAGAAAAGACGCGGCAAAAGTGCCCCAAGATGTCTCCAAGACGGTCTTCGAGGGCTCCAAATCTCCGAAGTGTCGGTCCAAGTCGCCAAAGTAACCTCCAGACGGCTCAAAAGGTTTCCGAAACGCCCCAAGAGGCCTCCAAAAGGACTTCCAAGACGGCCCAAGGGGCAAAAAAACGTAGATGTCCCGTAGGTGTTTGAAAGATGTCAGCATTCTCGCCTTGTCAGCTTCCCATGCTCCAAGACAGGCCAAGAGGCCTCCAAGACCGCCCCAAGATGGCTCAAGAGGCCTCCAAGAAAGCTCCATAACGACCCAAGAGGGCCCCAAGACCGCCCAAGAGGCCTCCAAGACAGCCGAGGAGGCCCCCAAGACGGCTCCAAGAGGGAGCCCAGACGGGGGACCCGAAAGGACATTTCGATCCCTCGGCCTGAGCAGCTTTCAGGAAGCCCCCAGAGGCCCCTAAGAAGCCCCACAAAAGGCCCCAAGAGGCTCCCAAGAGACCCCCGGGAAGCCCCAAGAGGCCCCCACGAGGCTCCCAAGCGGCTCTCAAGAGCTTCCCAAGAGGCCCCAAGAGGCCACCGAGAGCGCTGGTCGTCGTCGTCGTCGTCATTCAGGGTCGGCGGCACCGGCTGTCAGGCCTTCGCAATAGACGAACATAGTCGAACCATCGCCCCATGACTATTTCTGACATTTGTGAATATTCCTCCTGTAGAGGGACATGCCCGACTTAGCTCAGCCAGGACGGCACATACGCCGACAGTGGTCCCAAGATGGGCTTGACCAGGATCGCTGCACGCGTACAGTCGGCGCCCCCCCCCAGACAGCCGACGTCTGGACTGTTTCGATGCAACCCCCCCCGAAGCCCCGACCCGTTCCCGAAGGGTGGATCTCCATCCCGAACCGTTTTTGTTCCACCCCCGGGCACGAAACGGGCCCTGAATGGCCGAAGATGGCGAGAGGCCTCCGTGGTGTGTGTTGCCCAGGGCGCTGGATGCAGGCTGTCCGGACGTAACCCCGAGGCTCCGGCGGCCGGGCGGGGCGATCTGGGCACCCTCTAAAAAGTTCTCGGCGAGTCGCGGCTGCTGGAAAGCATCCCGAGACTAGAAGCGCCTCCTGGGAGCCGATGACAACGCCTCGAAGCTTTCGAACGTCAGGGGCGCCCAAGAGAGGGCAGATCGTGGCCCGAGGCACGTGCGCGGGCGAGGGGAGCACCCGGGGACGCATCGAAAGACAGAGAGGAGGCCGTGCAGTCGCCATGGCACCCTGGCCGCGATGGCCACCGCCCCCCCGGTCATCAGCCCCCGCCTGGCTGCCCCCGAGAGCGGCTGGGCCCGGTCCTGTTCGCGTCCCGCCAGGCGAGCAACCTCGGCACCTCCGGGGGCCCCACGCCCATGATGGCCTGCCGCGCGCGGGGGCTCGCTCGGAGTCTCGGGCGGCGGCCACCGCGGTAGCCGCCGGAAGCAGCGGGGGGGGGGTCCAGGATTCTAAGTTGGCCTCGCGCGCGCCCGCGCCGGGGCACGAGGTCCAGGCGTACCGACGGCGACGGCGGCCGGCGAGACGGCGACGGCGGCGGCGGCACGACAGACGGCCGACGGGACACCCGCAGCGACGCGATCGGCGGGGACAGCAGAGGGGGGGAGCGATGGAGGGCGGGAAGGCCCCGGGCATGCTCGCACGGTGGAGAGAAACAACAAAAAAACGGCGGGAGATGTTCGATAACCGTCGGCCTCCTGGGGCCCTGACCGGGCCTCGGTCGGCCTGCATGCAAGAGCGGCCCTGGGCAAGAGCGACCTTTGGTGCGCGGCGTTCGGGAGGGACATGAGGCGGCCAAACCGAAGCGCGCAGGCCGTTGCTATCGCATCGCGCTCGGCCATCGAGGGGCACCAGTGGGCCTGCACCAGAGGTCACTCCGGCGAAGGGCCACTCTTACGTCTAGTCGCCTCGGGACCGTCAACACCTGTTCTGGATGAAGAACCGGCCCTGGGGAAAGGGTCGAGGCTTTCGGAGAGCCCGTATTTAGAGGCCTCCTGGATGGGGTCCGAGTAGATGGGGTCGAAGGATCGCGCCGCATCGCCAATGCATCGCCGACGTATCAGCGATGCATCGGCGACGTCGGCGATGCATAGGCGACGTCGGCGTGTCGAAACACGGGCTCCACATCGAGCCGTATCGGCGGCGATGCATCGGCGATGCGGCGCGATCCCCCGACCCCATCTGCTTTGACCCCATCAGGAGGAGGAGGAGAAGGAGGAGAAGGAGGAGGAGGAGGAGGAGGGGGAACACCAGGAGGAGGAGGAGGAGGAGGAGGAGGAGGAGGAGGAGGAGGAGGGGGCGGAGAGGAGGAAGAGGAGGAGGGGGAGGAGGAGGAGGAGGAGGAGGAGGGGGAGGAGAAGGACGAGGAGGAGGAGGAGGAGGAGGAGCAGCAGGAGAAGGCCTGGAGTATTGAAAAACAAGAAGACGTCGAACGTCTGGGGAAGGAGGCAACTTCGAGTCGCAGCGACGGCTGCGCCCGAGCAGAGGTGCGACTGCGTCTTCTGCTCGGCGGCCGCTCGAAGGTGCGGCGACTGCGCCACGCGCCGCGGTGCGATGGAGAGCACTCGGTCGTCGTCGTCGTCGTCGTCGTCGTCGTCGTCGTCGTCGTCGTCGTCGTCGTCGTCGTCGTCGTCGTCGTCGTCGTCGTCGTCGTCGTCGTCATCCCCCTTCAGGGTTGGCGGCACCAGCCGTACGGCCTTCGCAATAGTAGGTCCACGTTTTCTTGTATTCGGCGTGTCGACACTCGGCGGAAGGATGGGGGGGAGGGGGAGGTCTGGCACGACCAGGATCGTTGCACGCGAACGGTCGGCGCACCCCCCAAGGTGAACGTGTTTTTCCTCGGCGTGTCGACACTGGGCGGAAGGGGGAGGAGGGGGGGGGTCTGGCTCCAGACCTCTGCTTACAGCGACTGCCTGCAACAGTGCGTCCTGTGGGGGAGACGCCACCTGCATGAAAAACAGGCGCCACGAACGGCCAAGATCTACTCCGTGGGGGGAGGGAGGGGGCGGGTGCGAAGGCCCTCGCCGATCGGCAAAACAGTGAATAAGAAAAAGATCACTAGCTGGGACGTGCATCAGCGACCCAGGTTCTTTTTACCGCGGAGGCGCTTGCCTCGGAGGCGGCGCGGGCTGTCGAGGGACTCGCCCGTGAAATACGCAACGGCCATCAGTGACCTGATCTGGGCCTGCCTGGCGAGAGAGGGAGGGAGCATCGGAGCGGAGCCGGCCGCGGCGGTGTTTATCGAGGGCGCGCAAACATGGATTAGCTGGTGCCGCCTCGCTCGGCGGCGGAAATCCGCGATTTCCCATGGAACCGGGACCCGTCGCTAATCCACGCCCCCTTGATCCATGTTTGCGATCGCCTGAGGATCGGAGCGGAGCCGACCACGGCGGTGTTTAGAACAGAGGAAGCGGGTCCTGACTGAAGGAGAAGGCTCCTGAGATTCCGCCGCGGTGGCGCCCCTCAGGTCCTCCACGACCCCAGGGCCGTCGAAAAATGGCTCCAGGGAAGCGGCTGGTCCAGGAAAGAGGAACCAAAAACGGCAAAATCATAATTTCTCTGAGGTCCGCGCGGGTCCCTTGGATCAGCGCTGGATCCGCCCCCTTGGGCCGACAAACGATGCACCGTACCATTCCTGGGCCGAAGATCGGCGCCAAAGCGGTAAGGTGAAAGCATATCGTCCGCGGCAGAGCGGGCCCGTATCCACCCAGGGGCGAAACCCAGGAGGACGGCGCGGGCGGGCCCGAGCCCGTGCTGGCAGTGGCTGGTGTGGGCGGCCGTCGGTGAAGAGTACCGCGTGCGCGCGTGTGTGTGTGTGTGTGTGTGCGTATGTGCGTGTGCGCGTGTGTGCGTGAGTGCGTGTGCGTGTGTGCGTGTGTGCGTGTGTGCGTGTGTGCGTATATGCGCGTGTGCGTATATGCGCGTGTGCGCGTGTGCGCGTGTGCGCGTGTGCGCGTGTGCGCGTGTGCGCGTGTGCGCGTGAGCGCGCGTGCGCGCGTGCGCGCGTGCGCGCGCGCGCGTGTGCGCGCGTGCGCGCGTGAGCGCGCGTGCGCGCGTGCGCGCGAGTGCGCGTGTGCGCGTGTGCGCGTGTGCGCGTGCGCGTGTGCGTGTGCCTATGCGTGTGCGTGTGCGTGTGCGTGTGCGTGTGCGTGTGCGTGTGCGTGTGCGTGCGCGAGCGCGTGTGCGTGCGCGTGTGCGTGTGCGTGTGCGTGTGCGTGTGCGTGTGCGTGTGCGTGTGCGTGTGCGTGCGCGTGCGCGTGCGCGTGCGCGTGCGCGTGCGCGCGCGCGTGCGCGTGCGCGTGCTCGTGCGCCTTGCGCGTGTGCGTGTGTATGTGTGTGTGCTTGCGTGCGTGTGTGTGTGCGGGCGCGTGCGTGTGAGCGTGTGTGTGTGTGTGTGTGTGTGCGTGCGTGCGTGCGTGTGTGCGTGTGTGCGTGTGCGTGTGTGCGTGTGTGCGCGTGAGCGTGTGTGCGTATGTGTGTGTTGTGTGTGTGGGTGCGTATGTGTATGTGTAAGTATGTGTGTGCGTGTGTGTGCGCGTGCGTGTGTTTGTGTGTGCGTGCGTGCGGCGTGCGTGCGTGCGTGCGTGCGTGCGTGCGTGCGTGCGTGTATGCGGGTGTGTGAATGTGTGCGTGTGTGCGTGTGTGCGTGTGTGAGTTGTGTGTGTGCGCGTGCGTGTGCGTGTGTGTGCGTGTGCGCGAGCGTGTGCGAGCGCGTGTGCGCGTGCGTGCGCGTGCGTGTGCGCGTGTGCGTGTGCGTGTGTGCGTGTGTGCGCGTGAGCGTGTGTGCGTATGTGTGTGTTGTGTGTGTGGGTGCGTATGTGTATGTGTAAGTATGTGTGTGCGTGTGTGTGCGCGTGCGTGTGTTTGTGTGTGCGTGCGTGCGGCGTGCGTGCGTGCGTGCGTGCGTGCGTGCGTGCGTGCGTGTATGCGGGTGTGTGAATGTGTGCGTGTGTGCGTGTGTGCGTGTGTGAGTTGTGTGTGTGCGCGTGCGTGTGCGTGTGTGTGCGTGTGCGCGAGCGTGTGCGAGCGCGTGTGCGCGTGCGTGCGCGTGCGTGTGCGCGTGCGCGTGCGTGTGCGTGTGCGTGCGCGTGCGTGTGCTGTGCGTGCGCGTGTGCGTACGTGCGTGTGCGCGCGTGCGTGTGCGCGTGTGCGTGTGCGTGTGCGTGTGCGTGTGACTGTGCGCGTGTGCGTGTGCGTGTGGCGTGTGCGTGTGCGTGTGCGTGCGCGTGCGTGTGCGTGTGCGTGTGCGGTGCGCTGCGTGTGCGTGTGCGTGCGCGTGTGCGTGTGCGTGTGCGCGTGCGCGTGCGCGTGCGTGTGCGTGTGCTTGTGCGTGTGCGTGTGGCGTGTGCGTGTGCGTGTGCGTGTGCGCGCGCGTGTGCGTGCGTGCGCGCGTGTGTGCGTGCGCGTGCGCGCGCGCGTGCGCGTGCGCGTGTGTGCGTGTGCGTGTGCGTGTGCGTGTGCGTGGTGCGTGTGCACGTGCGGGTGGTGTGCGCGTGCGCGTGCGCGTGCGCGTGCGCGCGCGTGCGTGCGCGCGCGCGTGTGCGTGTGCGAGCGCGTGTGCGTGCGAGTGCGTGTGCGTGTGCGCGCGCGTGCGCGTGCGCGTGAGCGTGCGCGTGTGCGCGTGCGCGTGCGTGTGCTTGTGCTTGTGCGTGTGCGTGTGCGTGTGCGCTTGCGCATGCGCGTGCGCGAAAATACGCGTGCGCGTGCGTGCGCGCGTGCGTGTGCGTGCGCATGTGCGTGTGCGCGTGCGTGTGCGCGTGCGCGTGCGCGTGCGTGTGCGCGTGCTCGTGCGCGTGCGTGTGCGCGTGCGCGTGCGTGTGCGTGCGTGCGTGCGTGCGCGCGTGCGTGCGCGGGTGTTTGTGTGTGTGCGCGCGTGCATGTGTGTGGTGTGCGCGTGTGCGTGCGCGTGCGCGTGCGCGTGCGCGTGCGTGTGCGTGTGCGCGTGAGCATGCGTGCGCGTGTGCGCGCGCGCGTGCGCGTGTGCGTGTGCGTGCGCGCGTGAATATGCGTGCGCGTGTGCGCGTGCGCGTGCGCGCGCGTGCGCGCGCGCGTGCGTGCGTGTGCGCGTGCGCGCGCGCGCCCGCGCGTGCGCGTGCGTGTGTGCGTGCGCGCGTGCGTGCGTGCATGCGCGCGCGTGCGCGTGCGCGCGCATGCGTGCGCGCGTGGTTGCGTGCGCGCGTGCGTGTGCGTGCGTCTGTGTGTTGTGAGTGTGTGCGTGTGTGTGCGCTTGTGCGAGTGCGCGTGTGCGTGCGTGTGTGCGTGCGCGTGCAGGTGCGTGTGCGTGTGCGTGTTCTTGTGTGTGTTTGTGTTGTGTGTGTTATGTGTTGTGTTGTGTTGGGTGATGTGCGATGTGCGTTGTGAGTTGGGGCGTGTGCGTGTGTCTGGGTGCGTGCGTGTGTGTTATGTGGTGCGTGTTGTGTGTTGTGCGTTGTGTGTGTTGTGTGTTGTGTGTTGTGTGTCGTGTGATGTGTATTGTGCGTTGTGCGTTGTGCGTTGTGCGCGCGCGCGTGCGTGCATGCGCATGCGTGCGTGCATGTGCGCGCGCGCGTGTGTGTACGTGTGCGCGTGCGTGCGCGTGCGTGCGTGCGCGCGTGCGTGCGTGAGTGCGCGCGCGCGTACGTGCTTGCGTGCGCGTGCGCGTGCGCGCGTGCACGCGTGCGCGCGCGCGTGCGCGCGCGCGTTCGCGCGCGCGTTCGCGTGCGCGCGTGGTGTGCGCGCGCGCGTTGCGCGCGCTGTGCCCGCGCGCGCGCCTGTGCCCGCGGCGCGTGCGCGAGCGTGTGGGCGCGCGCGCGCGTGCGCGTGCGCATGTGCGTGCTTGTGCGTGCGCTTGTGCGCGTGCGCGTGCGCATTCGGTGCGCGTGCGCGCGGTGCGCGCGTTGCGCGCGCGTGCGCGCGCGCCGTGCGCGTGTGCGCGTGCGCGCGCATGCGCGCGCGCGTGCGAGTGCGCGTGCATGTGCGTGTACGTGCGCGCGTGTGTGTGCGTGCTTGCTGTGTGTTGTGTGGTGTGGAATGTACTGAGTGTTGTGTGTGCTGTGTGTTGTGTGTTGTGCGTTGTGTGTTGTGTTTGTGTGTGATGTGTGATGTGTGCTGCGCGTGTTGTGTGTATTGTGTGTGTTATGCGTTGTGTGTTGTGTGTGTGTTGTGTGCTGATTGTGGTGCGTGCGCTGCCTGTGTTGTGTGTGTGTGTTGTGAGTGCCCGGTGTTGTGTGTGTGTGTCCGTGTGTGTGCGTGGGGGCGTGCGTGCGCGCGCGCGTGCGCGTCGCGCGCGTGCGCGCGCGCGTGCGCGCGCGTGCGCACGTGCGCGCGTGCTTGTGCGTGCGGGCGCGCGCGTGCGTGTGCGCGTGAGCGCGCGCGTGCGCGCGTGCGTGCGTGCGCGTGCGCGCGCGCATGCGCGCGCGCGTGCGCGCGTGCGTTCGTGCGCGCGCGCGCGTGAGTGCGCGCGCGCGTGCGCGCGCGCGTGCGGTGCGTGCGCTCGTGCGCGCGTGCGTGCGCGCGCGATTGCGTGCGCGCGTGCGTGTGTTTGCGTGAGAGTGTGAGTGTGTGCGTGGGTGCGTGCGTGCGCGCGTGCGCCTGCGCGTGCGCGTGCGTGTGTGTGCGTGAGTGTGAGAGTGTGTGCGTGGGTGTGGGTGTCTGTGCGTGCGCGTGTGTTATGTGTGCGTTGTGTGCGTGTGTGCGCGCGCGTGCGCGCGTGTGCGCGCGTGCGCGTGCGTGCGCGCGCGCGTGCGCGAGCCTCCGCGCGCGCGCGCGCGTGCGTTCGCACGTGGGCGCGTGCGTGCGTGCGCGCGTGCGCGCCTGTGCACGCGCGTGAGCGCGTGCGTGCGCGTGTGTGCGCGCGCGCGTGCGCGTGCGCGCGCGTGTGCACGCGCGTGCGTGCGTGCTTGCGTGCGCGCGCGCGTGCGCGCGAGCGCGCGTGCTTGTGCGTGTGCGTGTGCGCGTGCGTGTGCGTGTGCGTGCCTGCGTGCATGTGCGCGTGCGCGTGCGCGTGCGCGCGCGTGTGCGTGTGCGCGTGCGCGTGCGCGTGCGCGTGCGCGCGCGTGTGCGTGTGCGTGTGCGCGTGCGTGTGCGTGTCCGCGTGCGCGTGCGTGTGCGCGTGCGTGTGCGTGTGCGTGTGCGTGTGCGTGCGCGTGTGTGCGCGCGTGCGCGTGTGCGTGTGCGCGCGCGTATGCGCGCGCGTGTGCGCGTGCGCGTGCGCGTGCGCGTGCGGGTGCGCGTGCGCGTGCGCGTGCGCGTGCGTGCGCGTTCGTCTGCGCGCGCGCGTGCGCGTGTGCGTTCGCGTGCGCGTGCGCGTGCGTGTGCGTGTGCGTGTGCGTGTGCGCGTGCGTGTGCGGTGTGCATGTGCGTGTGCGTGTGCGTGTGCGTGCGTGCGCGCGTGCGTGCCCGTGTGCGTGCGCGTGCGCGTGCGTGTGCGTGTGCGTGTGCGTGCGTGCGCGTGCGTGTGCGTGTGCGTGCGCGTGTGCGTGCGCGCGCGCGTGTGCGTGTGCGCGCGCGTGTGCGTGAGCGCGTGCGCGTGCGCGTGCGTGTGCGCGTGCGCGTGCGTGCGCGTGTGCGTGCGCGTGCGCGTGCGCGTGCGCGTGAACGTGTGCGTGTGCGTGTGCGTGAGTGTGTGTATGTGTCCGTGTGTGCGTGTTTGCATGTGTGCGTGTGTGTGTGTGCGTGTGTGTGTCTGTATGTGTGGGTGCGTTTGTGTGTGCGTGCGTGCGCGCGCGCGTGCGTGCGTGCGTGCGTGCGTGGGTGCGTGCGTGCGTGCGTGCGAACGCGCGCGCGGGCGTGCGTGCGTGCGTGCGTGTGCGCGTGCGTGCGCGTGTGCGTGCGTGCGTGTGTGCGTGCGTGCGCGCGTGCGTGCGCGCGCGTGTGTGTGTGTGTGCGTGTGGGCAGGTGTGTGCGTGTGTGCGTGGGTGCGTGGGTGCGTGCGTGCGCGCGTGCGCGCGCGCGCGTGTGTGTGTGTGCGCGTGGGCAGGTGTGTGCGTGGGTGCGTGCGTGCGTGCGTGCGTGCGTGCGTGCGTGCATGCGTGCGCGCGTGCGCGCGTGCGCGCGCGTGCGCGCGTGCGTGCGTGCGTGCGTGTGCGCGTGCGTGCGTGCGTGCGTGCGCGCGTGCGCGCGTGCGCAGGCGCGTGTGTGTGCGTGCGTGCGTGCGCGTGCGTGTGCGTGTGTGTGTGTGTGTGTGTGCGTGTGCCTGTGTGTGCGTGCGTGTGTCGTGCGTGCGTGCGTGCGCGCGCGCGCGTGCGTGCGTGCGTGCGTGCGTGCGTGTGTGTGTGTGCGTGTGTGTGTGTGTGCGTGTGTGCGTGTGTGTCTGTGTGTGTCTGTGTGGGCGGGCGGGACACGTCGCCGGCGTCGTCCTGGGGGAGCCGGTCGGGCGGGCGAGCGAGCGGGCGGGACATGTCGGCGTCGTCGGCAAGTCGGGCGGGCGGGCGGAGCACGTCGTCGGCATCGTCGTCGGCATCGTCGTCCTCGTCGTTTGCCAGCGCGGGGGGAGACCCCGCTTCCCCGACGTCGGGAATGTCTGCGAGGGGCGACATAAAGCCTCTCCCCCTTCATCTACCACAGAGTGGGCCCTTGCACAACCTTCGAGCCCCGGCTGCCGAGGCAGGCCTCCACCAGTCCTGCCTTCCCCCAAGCTCCCCCGCTCTCCTGCTCCCCTACCGCCCCCTCTCCCCCCCTCCCTTCGCCAGCTCGCGAGGACGGCTACCGGGACGGAGGCGAAGATTCAGCGGGTGATGGTTGTCAGTACGATCATCACTCGTCAGCCTGGAAAAGTGATGGGCCTGTTTTCCACCACCACCACCACAAGTTGGAGGGGGGAAGGAGGTGGAGGACGAGGAGGAGGACGAAGAGGAGGAGGAGGTGGTGGAGGAGGACCCCCTCCCCCTTCAACTTATGGTGGTGGTGGAAAACAGGCCGATCAAAAAGGAGGAAGCCGGGAGGAGGAAAGAGGGCCAGGGAGCCTGGAAGTCGGAGGCCCTGAGCACCGGCATCGACGCCCGGTGCACATGCCAGAAGCTCTGGTTCAGCCTGAAGGGTGGGATGAGGAGCGTGATGTTTGGAAGCTGGGCAAGGGCTGGCAAATCCGTGGCTGCTGAAAAAAGATCCTGGAGCAAGACGAAAACAAATTCCCGGAATCAAGCCCAGGGCACTAGATAATTAACGGGCGCTGCTTCCCGGAGAAAAAATCCCAGAGCTCCGTTTTAGCAGCCACGGGCTTGCCAGCCTTCGCCCAGCTTCTGAGTGATGTGTGTTCTGGTCGAATTTCGACCCATTCATCCCGACTGGTCGCATACGCTGCTGCTACTGCTGGGCTCAATCAATTCTGGGCGTCAAAATCCGATCATCACTGTCCACACCGTGTCCATAGATTTGTACACCTACGACCATGCACACACGTATGCAAATACGTGAATGTGAGCATGCGGGTGCGCATGAGTGCGCCTTGGGCGAGCTCACGTGTCACCACACATTATGCGTCTGCATGCATGGTCAGGTGCATTATTGAGAGCGAGATCGATTTGCGAACGGAGATACTGATGCGCAACGCATTACACGCTTGCGCATGTAAGTGTACAATATGCCATCATCACCGCCATCATAAGCTGCCGTAAACTCCCCATCATCATGACCACCGCCATATCATCATCATCATCATCATCAGCATCATCATCAGCAGCAGCAGCATCATCATCATCATTATGATCATCATCATCATCATCAGCATCATCACCAGCAGCATAGTCATCAGCAGCATCATCAGCATCAGCAGCATCATCATCAGAATCAACATCACCATCAACAGCAGCAGCATCATCATGACAAGGATCCCCATCATCAAAACAGCATCGTCATCATCATCGCCACCATCACCACTACCATCGTCATCACCATCGCCGTTCTCCTCATCTCTTCCAAACTCCCCCCCCTTTTCTCAAGCCACCGCAATTTGCCCGAAGACAGGACTAAAGCTGGGGCCGACCGATGTTCCCAGAGCACGTTGTTCTTTATTACCTCCTGGCCTATACGGCCCGATCTCCAGCTGGTCTATGGCGGCGGTAGTTTCCAGCACGCCGCTTCCGAACCTCTCGATGGAAGAAGCCTGCCCCTGCTGGTACCACGGGCTCTTGGTGCTGTCGTAGAGCGCCCCCTTTCCGAGGGATCGCAGGGGCGGTCTTCCACTCCTATTCCTCCTCCTCCTACTCCTCCTCCTCCTCCTCCTCCTTCTCCGTCTTCTCATCTTCCTCCGTCTCCTCCTCCCCCCTCCTCCTTCCCTCAAGCTCTCCTCCCTCGTACCACCCACACTCCTTCCCTCAATCCTCTCTCTTCCATTTATCTGTCATCCTCCTGTGCGCCAGGGAGGTGCGAACCCAAGAAAACCGCGCGGAACTCTGAGCTGCAACACTCGAAACAAAAAGAAAGCACCTATGGAAAATGGGACGGTGGGGAAGCGAAAGGTTACGCCGCTAGGCCTAGAAGTTAAGACGCACCCCAGAAGGCAGAGTGGAACAAGAGGAAAAGGCGGAGGACGATGACGAATTGTGGAGTAAGAAGAGAAGTCCAGAACTGTGACGTACCGAGCCTGGCCGCACGTGGTGCAGGTGCTTGAGAAGACACTGAAGTCGGAAGAGCCAGTGTCCAGGATGCAGGTCATATTCTGGCCACCCAGCCTGAAAGCAGGCAAGGCACGCCTCTTCCTCATCCGTATCCTAATCGTTCTAATCATCGTCGTCAGCGTCGATCTCGTGGTCATCACCGTCAACATCATCGGCATCATCAACACCTTGATCAGATATAGCCGTCAACAACTGAGACACCCGAACCACCACCATCGTCTTCATCACCGTCGTCGACGACATCGCAATAAGAATCACCATCACCTCCACCATCGTCATCATCAACATAACCATCGCCATCAACATCACCATCACCATCGTCGTCATAACCACCAACCTCGTTGTCGTCATCACCATCACCAGCACCGTCATCATCACTACAACCATCAGCATCACCACCACCATCACTCACCATCGCCATCACCATCGCCATCACCATCATGATCATCGTCATCAGCAGCATCAGGATGATCACCAGCATCAGCAACAGCGTCATCAGCACCATCAGCATCATCATCGCCATCATCACCAGCATCATCAGCAGCAGCAGAATCAGCATCGTCAGATTAAGCGTCAGCGTTCTCGTCATACGATACACCATCAACGTCATGGATGTCATCAGCATGCGTAGTCTTCACCATCACCACCAGCATCATTGTAGTCAGCAACAGCTTCATCATCATCGGCATCGTCGTCGATATCGTCACCATCACAGTGGTCACATCATAATCACCACCACAACCAGCATCATCATCATCAGCATCATCAGGATCAGCGTCATCATCAGCATCAGCATCACCAACATCATCAGTATGATCATCATGACCATAATCATCCTCATCGTCATCATCCTCATCACCAGCATCATCAGCATCACCATCATCATTATCAGCATCATCAGCGTCGTCAGCACCATGAGCAGTATCCACATCACAGACAGTGTCATCGTCATCATCCTCATTCAGCGGCCCACCACCAGCATCGTCATCACCACCGACGTCGTCGTCGCCGATATCAGCATCATAAAAGTAGTCATGCCCATCACCACCACCCCTTCCCACACAACTACCACCATCATCACCATCACCACCACCCCACCACAATCAGCATCATCACCACCACCATCACCATCACCACCATCACAATCGGTCTGTGTCGGCATCCTCATACCTCCTCATCCTGGCCTGAAGCTGCTGAGGTACTTCGTGTCCATGACGTTCTTCATCGTCTGCCGCTGCCCCTGGCCTCGGCGGACCGACAGGAGCGTCTGGACTCGGGCGATCGTGACGCCCTCACCCTCCTCTCCCGCCTCCTCCCCCTGCTGCTCCTCCTCCGCCTCCTCCTCCTCCTCCTACCCCTCCTCCTCCGCCATATATGCCCCCTCGTCCTCCCCCACGTCTGGTCCTCCTCCTCCCCCCTTCCCCTTTTTCATGTCGCACCTCCACGTACGTCGTGAGGGCGGGCCAGCCGTTCCGACTGAGAGTCCCTCACCATTTAGGATCCTGAAGCTTGAAATTTGCAACAGGCTCAAAGATCAAGAGCGGGCCGTTTCGAAAATGAAACTCCAGCCAGCGCCGCGCGTACTCGTCTAACGAGCGTGTAGCATCGTCAAAGATGGAGGACGGCCCTTCTCGCAGAATGGTGCTCTCGCCTCAGCGCCACGCACATTCCTATTACAATGTGGCCACAGGTTCAAGGATAGAGGGCGGAACATGTTCAAAACTGCAGCCATGGATCATGGACGACGATCTTTGTTTTAAACAAGACCCTGGCCTCAGCGCCGCGAACATTAGTCCCACAAGCTTGCAATCGTAGAGGGGAAAAAACAGCGTAAACATCTCCTCCTCCTCCTCCTTCTTCTCCTCCTCCTTCATAAACTTTCGACGGTCCGCGCGGATTTCTTGGATCTGCGCTGGGTCCCCCTCCCTGGCGCGCGGGGCGCGCCAGGGGCTGCGCCAGAGGCGCCGCTGTGAGGGATCCAGCGCGGATCCCAGAAATCCGCGCGGAGCACAAACAGTTTTTGAGTATGGCGTGTTGGTTCTTCGTCGAAACTGATGATGGGCGGCTCCTTTTCAGAGATGCAGTCTCGCATGGGGCTTCTTCCAGTAGCTGCACGCATGAATGCGGCTCCTTTTGAAAGCTGGGCGGTCGCTTGAGGCTTCTTGTGCCGACCAGCAGCTTGAACATACAGTGCAGCTGCACGTGCGGATGGAGGGCCGCTCCTGTTCAAAATGGAGTCCCGCTGAAAAAAGTCGTCTTCGCTCATGGCCAGCAGTGGGAACTTGTGCAAGAGTCGCGCAGAAAGGGCCGGTACTGCTTCCAAACGGGGACCTCGCTGGACACCCCGCTGAAGTGAATGCTCGTTCTTCGCACGTGCCCTACTACTCGCTGGAAAGATGATGGATGCACGGGAGATGCTTCCTTTTCAACCCAGGACTCTCGTCTGAAAGGGCAGACACATAGTGGCTGGTCTCTGCAGGGGGCGCGTCTTGAAGTGGACAGGAAGGCTGGCAGGGACGTCTGGGGAGGGGACGTGGGACGGGAGCTTGTGTGGCAGCATCGTTGATGCATCTTGAGTTTAGGAATGTTCTCCTCCTCATCTCCTCATCATCAGCATCCTCCTCCCCATCCATGATTCACAGTTCACGATCGGAGAGACACGTCTTGCAAGCAAAGCGTGCCCCTAACAGTGTAAGACGGAGGAGCGGGAGGCCAGGCAAAGATCCTCGAATCCTCACCCCCCTGCGACCCTTGCTCCCCCTCCCTGCTCCTCCTCCTCCTCCTTCTCCTCCTCCTCCTCCTCTTCCTCCTCCTCCTCCCCCTCCTCCTCCCCCTCCTCCCCCTCCCCCTCCCCCTCCTCCTCCCCCTCCTCCTCCTCCTCCTTCTCCTCCTCTTCTTATTCGTCTTCTTCCTCCTCATCCTCCTCCTCCTCCGCCTCCTCCTCCTCCTCCGCCCCCTTCTGCTCCTCCTCCTCCCCCTCCTCCTCCTCCTCCTCCAACTCCCCCTCCTCATCCTCCTTCTTCTCCTCCTCCTCCTCCTCCTCCTCCTCCTTCTCCTCTCCTCCTCCTCCTCCTCCTCCCCCTCCTCCTCCTCCCCCTCCCCTCCCCCTCCTCCTCCTCCTCCTCCTCCTCCTCCTCCTCCTCCTCCTCCTCCTCTCCTCCTCCTCCTCCTCCTCCTCCTCCGCATCATCCTCCTCCTCCTCCTCCTCCAATTCCCTCCTCCCCCTCCTCCTCCTCCAACTCCAACTCCTCCTCCTCCGCTCCTCTCCTCCTCCTCCTCCTCCTCTCCTCCTCCTCCTCCCCTCCTCCTCCTCCTCCTCCTCCTCCTCCTCTCCCTCCTCCTCCTCCTCCTCCTCCTCCTCCTCCTCCTCCTCCTCCTCTCTCCTCCTCATCCTCCTCCCCCTCCCCTCCTCCTCCCCCCCCTCCTCTGCCTCTCCTCCTCCTCCTCCTCCTCCTCCTCCCCTCCTCCTCCTCCGCCTCCTCCTCCTCCTCCTCTTCCTCCGCTTCCTCTCCGCTTCTCCTTCCTCCCCTCTCCTCCTCCTCCTCGCTCTCCTCCTCCGCCGGCTCCTCCTCCTCCTCCCCCTCCTCCTCCTCTCCTCCTCCTCCTCCTCCTCCTCCTCCTCTTCTCCCTCCCCCTCCCTCCCTCTCTCTCTCTCTCTCTCTCTCTCTCTCTCTCTCTCCGGGCGACCGCGCTGATTCAGGGCGTCCGTGCACGACGGAAGTGCTTGTGCTTGGGGGGCACCAGAGGCCATTGGGAGTTCCGACGGCAGGGCGAGGTGCGGGTTGCATTCAGAACCTCGGGCAGCTTGACGCGCTGCCTGGACCACCGAGGCCGAGTCGAGGCAGGGGACGTTCACCTGAAGTACCTGCTGCTGGCAATGGAATCATCAGCATCATCATCATCATCATCATCATCATCATCATCATCATCATCATCATCATCATCATCATCAGCATCGTCATCATCATCAGCAGCATCAGCATCAGCATCAGCATCAGCATCAGCATCAGCATCAGCATCAGCATCATCATCGTCATCATCATCATCATCATCATCATCATCATCAGTATCAGCATCATCATCAGCAGTAGCATCAGCAGCATCATCATCAGAACCAGCATCATCATCATCACCATCATCATCATCATCATCATCATCTTCATCATCATAATCATCATCAGCATCATCACCACCACCAACACCACGAACACCACCACCACCACCATAATAAGCATCATCATCATCAGCACCATCATCATCATCAGCATCATCATCATCGTCATCGTCGTCGTCGTCATCGTCATCACCTTCAGCATCAGCAGCATCATCATCATCATCATCATCATCATCATAAGCATCAGCAGCATCATCATCATCATCATCATGAGCATCAGCATCAGCATCAGCATCAGCATCATCATCGTCAGCATAATCATCGTCATCATCACCATCACCACCACCACCATCATCATCACCACCACCACCACCATCATCATCATCAGCATCATCATCCGCATCATCAGCAGCAGCATCATCATCATCATCATCATCATCGTCATCAGTATCATCATCAGCAGCATCATCATCACCACATCAGAATTCGCATCAACAGCATCAATGTCAGCATGATCCTCATCATCAACCGCATCAGCACCATAATCTTCATGATCATCGTCATCAGCACAATTGACCGTATCGTCGTCCTCATTATAAGAATCAGCATCATCAGCATCATTTGCATCATCAGCAGCAGCATCAGCATCAGCAGACTCATCAGCATCATCATCATTATCAGTATCAGCATCATGCTCCTTCTCAGCAGCATCAGCAGCATCGTACGCGTCATCGTAATCATCATTAGCATTTCAATCATCATCATTATCATCCTCGGCATCATCATTCTTACTCCCATCACCATCACCACAATCAATCAGCACCGTCATCAGCATAACTATTAGTAGCAGCATCATGAGCAGCAGCTCATCGTCATCATCATCAGCATCGTTGTCGTTATCGCCATCGACATCAGCATCATCCTCGGCGATGTCGCCAATGCCGATGCCGCAATCAGCATCATAAGTATCAGCATCATCGCCACTGTCATATCATCAGTATCGTCGTCGTCTTCCTCCCCAACACCGTCGCCTTCACCTTCATCTTCACCACCACCACCACCGCCATCACCATCAATCACTACCATCACTATCTTGATCATCATCACCGTCATCAGCATCATCGTCATCGTAATCATCAACAACATCATCATCGTCATCATGAGCAGTGTCATCATTATGATCATCGGCATCAGCATCATCATCATTATCATCATCGCCATCATCATCATCATCATCATGACAATCGTCTCGTCGTCGCCACCATCGTCACCATCGTCATCATCACCGTCGTCCCCCTCCTCCCTCATTACCGTCCTCATCATCATTACCATCATCATCATCATCATCAGCAGTATCATCATCATGACCATCAGCAGAAATACCATCATACTGGTTTGGCTATGATTCGTCTTCCTCATCATCCGCATCAGCATCACCATCAACATCATCATCAGCACCATCATCAGCATCACCACCACCACCACCATCATCATCAGAGTGATCATCATCATCATCATCATCATGATCATCATCATCATCATCATCATCATCATCATCATCATCATCATCATCATCATCATCATCATCATCTATACGATCATGATCATCATCATCAGCAGTAGCATCATCAGCATCCTCATCATCATCATAATCATCAGCATCATCACCATCATCATCATCATCGTCGTCGTCGTCATCGTCATCGTCGTCGTCGTGGTCGTCGTCGTCGTCGACATCGTCGTCGTCGTCCCTCCTCCTCCCTCCTCCCTCCTCCTCCTCCTCCTCCTCCTCCCCCCTCCCGCCCCCCAAACCCCCCGCGTCGGATGAGCCCTCGGCCATCGGAGTAGATCTCGTCGAGAGCGTGCGACCACCTGTTGGACCACCTCTTACCACGGACGGCCTTCCACCCGACCGACGCCTGCGCCCGGCCTTCCTGTGCACGGCCTTCCTGCGAACGCCCTTCCTGCGCACGCCCTTCCTGCGCACGACCCTCCAGTGACCTGAGCCGGAGGCTGGGAGGCACATTCGCACTGCTCCTCCTCCTCCTCCTCCTCCTCCTCCTCCTCATCCTCATCCTCTTCCTCCCCTCCTCTTCCCTTCTCTCCCCCATTCTCCCATCTCCTGCCCTGTCCTCCATGCTTTACCTCCTTCCCTCTCCCCTCCTTGTCCTCCCATGGCCTCCTCAGCTAACGATGTCCCTCCTCATTATTCCTCCCTCCTTGTCCCGCGACCTCCTCCTTCTCCCTCCGCCATCCTTGCCCTTCGTCACCCCTCCTGCCCGCCTCCCTCGCACACGCTCATTCCACTGCCCCATCCCCCCAGCCCTCCCTCTCCCATCCATACCGCCATCCCCCCCCCCATCCAAGCGAGGAGCGGCGATGGAGGAGAAGGAGGAGTTTTGACATTCCTTTCACTCCGCCATCGTTCCCCTCCTCCCCTCTTCCCCCCCTCCCCATCCCCCAATATTCTCCCTCCTGTTCCTCTCTCCGTCCATCCTTGTCCTCGCATATCCTCCTGAGCTAACGCTGACCCACTTCGTCATCGCAAGCCGCAAGAGATGCATGAGCGCACGGAGAGCTGAGCCAAGAATTGGGGTAAGAAGGAAAACTGATAAACCACAAACTGGGTAAGAAGTTGGAGTGCAACTTGCTTTTGGCGCGCGTGCTGCACGTTCCCTCTGGAATGCTACCATTACATCCTGTCCTTCCTCCTCCTCCTCAGCAGCAGCGTCACCACCACCAGCACAGTCATCATCATTATGATCATCATCATCATCATCATCATCATCATCATCATCATCATCATCATCATCATCATCATCATCATCATGATCATCATCATCATCATCAGCATCATCATCAGCATGATCATCAACAGCGTCATCATCATAATCATCATCATGAATGCACTCAACATCGTCATCAGCACCATCAACAGCATCGGCATACTCATCATCACCATCAGCAGCAACATCTGCAGCATCATCATTATTATTGCCACTATCATCATCAGCAGCATCATCACCACCATGACCATCACCATCATACTTACCATCATCATCAGCATCATCAGCATCGTCATCATCATCATCATCATCAACAGCAGCAGCAGCAACGCCATCAGGGTCATGCTCAACTGGAGCACAGTCATCACCATTACCATCGTCATAGACATCACCATCAGCATCAGCATCATCACCATCACAATCGTCATCACCATCCCCATCAACATCATAGACATCATTAGCAGCAGGATCAGCAGCATCATCAGCATCAGCATCGCCATCATCATCATCATCATCGTCGTCACCAGCATCAGCATCCTCATCATTAGCATCATCAGCAGCAGCATCATACTCAGCATATTCATCATCGTCGGCATCACATTCATCATAAACAGCATCATTAACATCATCAGCATCATCATGATAATCACCACTATCATCCGCACCATCAACATCAACAGCATCAACAGTATCATCATCATCAGCAGCATCAGCATCACAATCGTCGTGACCGTCGTAATCAGCATCCTCAGTATCAGCATCAGCATCATCATAATCAAAAGCCTCATAATCGTGCGCATCAGCGTCAGGATCATCACTATAATCAGCATCATCATGATCATCATCATCATCGTCATCATCATTACCATCAGCATCATCGGCAGCAACAGCATCATCAGCAGGATCAGCATCATCATTACCATCATCAGCAGTATCATCATCAACAACAGCATCATCATCATCGTCGTCATCAGCAGCGTCGGCATCATCATCAGCAGCATCCTGCCTCCTGTCCTGCTTGCTCGCTCGTCCGCATTCCTCCGCTTCTTCGTTGTCCTTGCCATCGCCTGCCTCGTGCTGCTCACCGCCCTCCTCATCCTCCTCCTCCCCGAACTCCTCCTCCCCTTCCCCAGTCTCTACCGCTCTCTCTCTCTCTCTCTCGCTCTCTCGTTTTTTCTCTTCCTCTCTCTCTCTCTCTCGCTCTCTCTCCTCCATCTCTCTCTCTCTCTCTCTCGCTCTCTTTCTTTCCCCCTTTTCGCTTTCTGGAGCTCACCCCCTTTGGGCCCGTGGCACGTGAAAACACATGCACCGGCGCCGTGGACACGTGAGAACACCCCCTCCGCACACAAGAATCCACCGATCAGACATTGGTTCCCCCCTGGGGCCTTCACGGCACAAGGCCCAAGGCTCGACGACACGCCGAAAGGACCCTGGGCCAGAGCCCCTACGCCCCGCGCGCACGCGCCAGGCGCGCGGTGGTTCCCCCCCCCTCTCCGCGCACGCACTGCTACTTGTAAGAAATCCGCCGGCTGGACATTGGGTCCCCGCCCTGGGGGTCGTGGCCACGTGAAAACGCGCGCACCGCGCGCAAGCGCCAGGCGCAGGTTGGGTCCCCCCACTCCGCGCACGTATTATCACTTGCGGAAAACCCTCCGACTAGAAGCTGGTTCCCCCCCTGAGAGGCCCGGCGTGGCGAGAAAAACATATGAAAACACGTGCAGGGCGCATGCACGCCGAGACGGATGTTGGGGCCCTCCCTTGGAGCCATATATACATACAGACATACCTACCGACCTACCTACTGACCTACCTACCGACCTACCGACCTACTTACCCACCTACATGAATACCTGCATGCATGCATGCACGCACGTACGCATCCATACATACATACCACGCAACCTACCTTCCGGCCTACCTGCCTACCTGCCCGCATGCGTGCATGCATGCCGACATGCATTACATACATGCATACATACATGCATGCATGAATACATGCCCATGTGCATGCATGCATGCATACATACATACATTCATACCTGCATACAAGCATGCACGCATGCGTGCATACATGCATATATGCATACATGCATAGATGCATACATGCATAGATGAATACATCCATACATACAAAAATGCGTGTAGTCATGCCTGATAACATGCATGTGTATACATATATACACATGCACGCATGCATGCATGCATGAACATACACACATGCATACAACAAAACCAACGCACATACAAACAAACATGGATGCATACATACAGACACACACACATAAACATCATACGTGCATGCATGCATAAATTGATGAATGCATACATATATGCATATATGCATACATGCATACATGTATGCATGCATGCATACATGCATACATACATACATGGATGCATGCATACATACATGGATACATACATACACGTACACATACACATATACCTACACGTACACATACGCATGCACATACACATATTCACACATACAAATACTTACCCATACACATACATACATACGTACATACATATATACATACATACATACATACATATATACATACATACGAGAGAGTGCGTTTCAAAGGCGCTTGCCTTGGGAACATTCGGCGGTGCGTTTCGAACCGGGGGGTGGCCCCCCCCAACACTCCCCTCCGCCCAAACCCCCCTCTCCCGAACCCCCCCCCACCCCCTCGGCGCCAGCGCTGGCGCCGGCGCTGGCGGCCGCCAGCAGCGCCGACGGCGGGGACGCAGCGACGATGACCAGAGGCAGCCCAAGGGGAGGGGGGGGTTTGAACCCCTCCCCTCCCAAGGGGGGGGGGTTCAAACCCCCCCCCTGGCGCCGGCGACGGCGGGGACGCAGCGACGATTGCCACCACTACCACCACCATCACCACTACCACCACCACCACCACCGCCACAACCCACCATTATTACCACCAACCCAACACACAACCACCACCACAACCACCACCACCACCACAGCGACCACCACCACCACCACCACAACTCACCATCACCACCACCACCACAAAAACCCACCACCACCACCACCACCACCTCAACCACAAAGTACCACATCACCACCACCACCGCCACAACCACCACCACTACCAGCAGCCCAACCCACCACCACCACAAACCACCACCACACCACCACCACCGCCACCACCACCACCACCAGCACCACCTCCACAAACCACCGCCACCACAACAACCCACCACCACCACCACAAACCACCACCACACCACCACCACTACCAACACCTCTACCCACCACCCACCACCACAACCACCACCACAACGAACCACCATACCACCAACACCACCACAACCACCACCACCGCCAACACCACCACCACAATCCGCCACCACCACCACCACCACTACCGTCCTCGTCGTCGCTCCCCGCCGCCGCCGCCCGCCGCCGCAGGCGCTGGCGCCGGCCCGGCGCCGGCCCGGAAAAGGAAATCGTCGTCCCCGCCGCCGCCGCCAGCCGCCGCCGACGCAGGCGCTGGCACGAGGAGAGGGAGAGAGGAGCATAGGGGAGGAGGGGGGGGGGTCCAACTCCCCCCCCCTCCCTCCGTCACGGGAGGGGGGGTTCGAACCCACCCCCCCCTCCATCCAGGGGGGGGAGGTGGTCTGGTTCCAAACCCCCCTCCCCTCCAAGCGACCACAGACGGCGAGGGCCCCCGGGGTGGGAAAACGGACATGAAAATCTGATCTCGCCTCTTCGGGGCGCCGCGAGGGGGCGCCTCCTCCTGCTCCTCCTCCTCCTCCTCCACCTCCTCCTCCTCCTTCTTCTCCTCCTGCTCCTGCTCCTGCTCCTGCTCATGTTCCTTTTCCATCTCCCCCTCATCCTCCTCCTCCTCCTCCTCCTCCTCCGCCTCCTCCTCCTCCTCCTCCTCCACGTCCTCTGGGCACGCCCCGGAGCGCCCTCTCGGCAAAGCGCAGCGACCTTTGGAGGCAACTGCTGGGAGGTCTTCGCCGGAAGGACTGAAAAGGGGGATTTGGCCCTACAGTAGGAGCTCGACCACAAGAAGCCTTCCACAAAATACCCAACCCTGCGACCACAGAACGTCCGCTGATTCTTGGTGTGGGAGCGTCACGCCTTCCACAGCAGAACCATCGAAACCCAACAAACCCAGGGCACCCTGAAGGCAAGCAAGGTGTTTCTTGGCATGGGTTTCCACTGTAGGCCCATTAGGGGGCTGTTGCGCCAAGTCAGGCCGCGGCTGCAGCGGAATGGAGCTGGATGAAAAGCGGGATCAAGCCGGACGAAGCCGGAGTTCGAGCCAGGGCAAGGTCCGAATGTCACCTCTCAGGAGTTGCAGGCGAAGCTACTAGAAGGCATGTGGAAACTGGAAAGCCTGGGAGAACCGCCGCCGAGGCCCCGCACCTGCCTCGTGCGCCTGCAGGGCCTCCGACGGCAACAGAGGTCCGAGGGCCGCCCAGCCCTGGCTCCACATGCGCCGTATCTGGGTGAGCACCCGGGCCTTTCGCCCAGGTTTCGACCAGGGAACGACTGCAGAATCGATTTACATACCCCATGACTGACTTGCCTGTCGGATCCCTGAGAAATGCGCAGGCTGTCGATAGATCTACGAACATTCGATGTTGGTTTCGTAGATTCGACGGCAATGTCGATGTTGGGGCAAAAACCAATTTTGTAGTCGATCTCCGATACTCGAAGGTCCCGAACCCTGGACCCTTGCAGATCGATGCGGCCCGCGAGACATGGCACAGAAAGCGCTTAAGGCGAAGCCAGGACGACGACAAAATCGGATGAGCAGCGGGGGGCCCAGGAGGGAGTCCTTTTCCTCCTCCTCCTCCTCCGCCGCCTCTTCCTTAGTTCCGCCTCCTCCTCCTCCTTCTCCTCCTCCCCCTTCTGGTCGTCGTCGATGTCTTTAAGGGTCGGCGACACCGGCCGCCAGGCCTTCACAATCGGGTGAGGATGAATCGAGAATCTCTGAGATCTGGCGGCTCTGGAGGATGTCTCGGGCGCCGCGGCCTTCTCAGAGCGCTCTGGAACGCTCTGAGAGCGTCCCGGGAGCGTCCCAGAACGAATCGATCCTCGTCCCAGCCCCGCCAGAGTGCTGGCTTCCGAGGCTCTGGTCGTGATTCTCGCGAGGTTGCAGCCTCCATGCCAGCCGCCGATCTGAATTTGCCCACCTGCGGACCTGGAAGTCCCGAACGGCCTCGCCTGGGGAGATCTTTTTTTACGACGACATGGGAGATGGTGAGCTTCACGGTGTGCGTAAAGGTACTGATGGACGCCACCACGACTGGGAGGAGACGGCCATGCCGCCCGAAACTGTGTCGAGCGTCACCGTCGCACTGCCTCGAAAAAGATTCTTCTCGGGTCGGGCATGTCCCCCTGCAGGGGGATTTTGGACGAAAAAATCAAAATACCCCAATGACCCGTTTTCGATGGCCCCGTTTTCGATGGCCCCGGCGGGCCCGACAGCGGCCCCCGGCGAGCGAAATCCAGGGAAAGGCAGGCCCGCATCGAAAGCAGAAGCCGTCTCGCTGCAGCTCTGGCCTTCTCGCGGCGCCAGGTCTCGGCGGCACGTCGAGGGGGGAGGTGAGCAGGGCAAGGGCCTCCTCAGAAGGCGGCGGGGCTCCCGAGGTGCCCCCCCCCCTCTGTCTTCGGAGAGGGCTTGGAAAACTCGGAGAGGAGGAGGAGGAGGAGGAGGAGGAGGAGGAGGAGGAGCAGGCCCGAGGCTTTCCGAGCCTTCTGACAAGGTCCGCCCCACAGACAGGGAGGGCCTCCGACGACGGCGGGGCCCAGGGGCGGCTGCCTGGCGAGACGGCCGTCGCCCGCGACGGCCTTGAGGCCCTGCCGCGCGCCGCCAGCCTCGGGAGCCCGTCGCCACCACGCGCCTCCCCAATCATCCCCTCCCTCCGTCCTCTCCCTCTCCCTCCCCGTCTCCCTCTCCCTCTCCCTCTCCCTCCTTATCCCTCCCTCTCCCCCTCCCTCTCCCTCCCTCCCTCTCCCTCCCGATCCCTCCCTTTCCCCCTCCCTATCCCTCCCTTTCCCCCTCCCTCTCCCTCCCTCTCCCTCTCCCTCCCCCCCTCCTCCTCCTCCTCCTCCCTCCTCCTCCTCCTCCTCCTCCTCCTCCTCTCCTCCTCCTCCTCCTCCTCCTCCACCTCCTCCTCCTCCTCCTACTACTACTCCTCTCCTCGTCCTCCTCCTCCTCCTCCTCCTCCCTCCTTCTCCTCTTCCCCTCCTCTTCTTCCTCCTCCTCCTCCTCCTCTTCCTCCTCCTCCTCCTCCTCCTGCTTATTCTGCTCCTCCTCCTGCTCCCCCTCCTCCTCCCACGCCTCCTCCTCCTCCTCCTCCTCCGCCTCCTCCTCCTCCTCCTCCTCCTCCTCCTCCGCCTCCTCATCCTCCTCCTCCGCCGCCTCATCCTCCTCCTCCTCCTCCTCCTCCTCCTCTCCTCCTCCTTCCTCCTCCGCCTCCTCCACCACCACTCCTCCTCCTCCTCCTCCTCCTCGCCGCCTCCTCCTCCTCCTCCGCCTCTTCCTCTCGTCATCGGTGTCATCATCATCATCATCATCATCATCATCATCATCATCATCATCATCATCATCATCATCATCATCATCATCATCATCATCATCATCATCATCATCTTCATCAGCAGCAGCAGCATCATCACATCATCATCATCATCATCATCATCATCATCATCATCATCATCATCATCATCATCATCAGCATCATCATCATCATCATCATCATCATCATCATCATCATCAGCATCATCATCAGCATCATCATCAGCATCATAAACAGCAGCATTATCAGCATCTTCATCATCATCATCAACAACATCATCATCATCATCATCATCATCCTCGCCATCATCAGCATCATCAGCATCATCATCAGCATCATCATCATCATCATCGACAACATCATCACCATCATCACCATCATCATCATCAGCATCATCATCAGCATCATCATCATCATCATCATCATCGACAACATCATCACCATCATCACCATCATCACCATCATCAGCATCAGCAGCATCATCATCATTAGCATCATCAGCATCATCAGCATCATAATCATCATCATCATCATCATCATCATCAGCATCATCATCATCATCGTCATCCTCATCGGCATCATCGTCATCATCATCGGCGTCATCATCATATCCTGCATCAGCAGCATCATCAGCATCATCATGAAGCATCATCACCATCATTATCATCATCATCATCACCAGTACTATCATCATCATCATAATCATCTGCATCATAATCATCATCATCAGCATCATCATCAGCATCAGCATTATCATCATCATCAGCAACAGCAGCAACAGCCGCATCGACATCATCACCGCCATCAATCCTCATCGTCAGCATCATCTTCGGCTCATCATCGTCATGATCGTCATCACCATCAGCAATGCCATCACCATCGTCATCATCAGAAGCAGGAGCAATGCCATCCTCATCATCATTATCATCATTATCATCATCACCATTGTCATCATCAGCATCATCACCATCATCATCGGCATCATCATCCATACCGCCACCACCAGCATCATCATGACCAGCAGTATCACCGGAATCTTCGTCATTGCCAACAGAATGATGGCATCCTTCAACATGAAATTCGTCACCATCAACACCATCGGCGGTGTAACAATCAGCATAGAGACAACCAACAAGATGATCATCATCACCACCACCACCACCGTCGTCGTCTTCACCATAGTCTTCATCACCGTCATACGCAACATCAGCATCATCGTCACTACCATCGCAAATACCATGATCATCGTTGTCACCATCGGCATCATCACAATCACCATCATCACTGTCACCAACATCATCATCATCATCATCATCATCATCATCATCATCATCGTCATCATCATCATCATCATCATCATCATCATCATCATCATTAACATCATCATCGTGTATCATTATAATCGTCATCCTCATCATCACCATCATCGTCATCGTCGTCGCCATCGTCGTCATCATCAGCAAAAGTATCATCATCATCATCGTCAACATCATGAAGATCATCAGCACCACCGTGAATGGCAACATCGCAGTCAACGAATCATCATCGTCATGATCGTCATCCTCATCATCATGATAGCCATTGTAATCATCGTCCTCGTCATCATCATGGTCTTCAAAGTCGTCGCCATCATCCAATTCATCGTGCCCATCATCATCGGCATCGCCGTCGTCATCATGGTCATCATCGTCACCATGAGCATCCTCATTTGTGTCATCATCGTCGCTGCCAGTAGCATAACCATCGTCATCCCCATCGTCAGCATCATCATCATCATCATCATCAGCATCATCATCATCAACGTCCGCAGTCATAATCATCATCAGGATCGTCATCATCGTCATCATCGTCAGCATCGTCAGGGTTGCAATCATCATCGAACATGAACATCATCATGAACACCATGCTCATAAGCATCACCTTCGTCCGTCACCATCATCAGCAACATCATCATAAGCAGCAGCAACATCATCATTATCGTGGGCATGATCGTCATCACCATTGCCATGCATCCGGCCATCATCATCAACATGATAATCACCATCACCAGAACCATCACCATCGTCATCGAAATCAATGTCGTCATTACAATAACCAATATCATAATCATCATTACCATCCCCGTCGGCATCGTCAGCGTTACCACCGGCATCATCGGCATCGTCGCCATCCTCATCATCGTCGTCATAATTATCAGTCGCTATTGTCAATTATCATTGTCGCACACTCATCATCAACATCAGCATTATCGACGTCATTGTGGTCACCATCGCACTCATCAAAATCAGCTTGCTCATGATCATCATCAACAGCAGCATCAGCAGTGTCAGCAGCATCAGCGACAGCATCAGCATTCCATTGCAACCGAGGCCCATGCCCGCCCCCGCCCGAGGCATGACGAAACCGAAACCTCGCGATCCATTATACGCCACTCCACAGGAACCGAAATCTCCTGATCCTCCGCTGGCGGCGAGCACAAGGAGGCTGGGGAAAGGGGGAAAGGCCTCTCGAAAGGAGGCTGCCTCCAAGGAGGCAGGCACCGGCCTCACGTTTCTAGACAAGGCCCGCGCCTTCTGAGAAGCAGGGATGCTTCTGAGAGGCCTTCCCCCCTCCCCCTGCACCACTCTTCGGCGGTGGACAAACCTCCTTTTAGTAAACTTCCCTTCAGTGAGAAAGGCCAAGTCCTTAATCGACGTGTAAGGGTAGGAGGTCTGTCCTACCCCGACCTCTGCGCGTGGCCGACTCCGGAGGCAGCACCAGGCATCAGCATCATCGGCGTCGCTGACGTCGTCACCATTCGAGGAGGCGATCGACTGCAAAACTGAGTTACCCCAAGAACGCAGAACGTTCGAACGTCGAGTCAGAATTGCGTAGAACGATAGTAGATCTGCGAACATCGCAGCTCGACGAACACTACATGCTGTCTCACGGATTCGACGAACAAATCGATTTTGGGGTATAGATCGACTCTGTGGCCGATGCCCCGGCCGAAGCAAGACGGAGGGCCCACTCCAGGGTCGAGCGCGCCCGCTCCTGGCCGAGGTGCGGGGTGCTGCCAGGGGTGGCCCTGGCCTCGGGCGGAACCCCGCTTCCTGCGCGGGGCCGAGGCAGCAGCAACGGCGCAAGCGTCGGTCGTGGAGAGCAGGCACCTGACTCCCCGGACCCCAGCCCACTGCAAGCGCCTGCGCACCTCAGCTCTCAATATGTGTTTGCTGCGCTTCGCCATTCTCTGGGGTGAACCGATGATCGGGCCGGGCGAAAGGGGGTTTGTAGCAAAGGGGGGGGTTGAGAATCAGCTCACGTAGCTGACTTTCCCGGCGCCTCCCGGCGCCGGGAGGCGCCCATGTATCGAGGAATGGGCCCGGCGGCGGGGCCGAAACAAGCTGCATGCAGCAGATTTCGTTAACCCCCCCTTTCCCTATCCCCCCCTTTCGTTCGGCCCGAGATTATGCAGTCGACCCCCTACTCGGAGCAAGAGGGGCCCGCTCCAGGGCCGAGCGCGTCCGCTCCTGCTCGGGGTGCTGCCAGGGAGAGGTGGCCCCGGCCCCAGGCGTCCCCCCCGCTTCCTGCGCAGGGCCGAGGTGGCAGACGCGGCGCAAGCAAGCGTCGGCCGTGGAAACTCGTTAGGTGCTTTGGGGCTCCCAGGACCCAGGAGGGGAAAAAACACACAGACACAATGAATCGGCGATCCCCAAGAAAACATGGGAAAATATGGGAAGTGGGGGGGAAGACAAAAACCCAGAAAATATGGGAAATGATGGGGAATCCTGTCATTTGTGTTTTTTTGTGTGTGTGTGTGTGTGTCCCAGGGACCCTTCAAGGACCCGAGTCTGCTTCAGGCGCCTCCCTACTTCTACAGCCGATCTGCCTTTGCTGTGCTCTCTTCTTCTCTGCACGAACGAACGACGCGCTCCATCGGCCGGCCCGGAGGGCCGTCCCGAGACGGGTGGCGCGGTGGCGCCTCCGCGCCCTCGGTTCTGGCACTCGACGGTGCCTTCCAGCCAGCGTTTGCACTGGCCCAAACGCCGCCGGACGCGGCTCTCAGGCTCCCAGCGAAATCCCACCTGCGCCCACGATTCGTTGTCAGTGCTCCTGCGGCCCAGCCAACGGACTGATCTTCTCTGGGGTAAACTCGGCTACGCACAAGAGTGACCCTGGGTAAGAGTGACCTTTGGTGCGCGGCTTTGGGGGGCCGCGGGGGGACCAAAAGCAAGCGCGCAAGACGCCTCCGCCGCCTCGCGTTCGGCGATCGGGGCACCCCAGTGAGCCCGCACCAAAGGTCACTCCGGCGAAAGGTCACTCTTACGTCTAGTCGGTAAACCAATTCTGTAGTCGATCCCCTACTCGAACCATCGGCGGCCGACTCGGGGAGGTCGGGGATCTTCTGACCCGGGTCAATCCAGACCTGGGTCAGTCAGGCCTTGCAGAATCCTGCAAGATCCTGCAAGATCCTGCACCCAAACCCGGGTCAGCGCGAAAGATCCTGCAGGATCCTGCAGGATCCTGCACCCAAACCCGGGCCAATGCGAACCTGGCCCTGCAGGATCCTGCAAGATCGGGCGCTCTGGCTGACTCCCGTTTGCATTCACCCCCTTCTCAAGGCTCCCGAGGGAAGGGGGGCAGCGCTGGGCCTCCACCCGCTCCGTGCGCCCGCCGCGGAGCACCGCCTGCGCGCCCGCCGCCAGGGCGACGAGGCCCAGGGCGCCGGCCTCGGCGGAGGGAATGGGAGGAGGAGGAGGAGGCGGAGGAGGAGGAGGAGGAGGAGGAGGAGGTTTGGGAGGGGGAGGTTGGGGCGGAGGAGGAGGGAGGAGGAGGAGGAGAGGAGGAGGAGGGGAGGAGGAGAAGGAGAGGAGGGGGGAAGGATGAGGAGGAGGAGGAGCAGGAGGAGGAGGAGGAGGAGGGGGGAGGGGAGGAGGGGGAGGGGGAGGAGGGAGCGAAGGAGGAGAAGGAGGAGCAGGAGGAGGAGGAGGACGACGACGACGAAGACGACGACGACGACGACGCCGACGACGCCGACGACAACGACGACGACGACGACGACGACGACGACGACGACGACGACGGCGACGAGGTCGGGGACGAGGAGGACCAGGGGGATGACGAGGACGAGGACGAGGGGGAGGAGCTCTTGTTGCACACCACTCGGGGCCAGCTGGTCGGGTCGAGTCGGCCCACTGGAGGGCCCCCTCGATCGGTCTGAGGGCCCCGAGCAGCAGAGGCCATCGCCCCATTGGCGATCGTGGTAACATGGACGGGTCGGGTCGCTAAGCATGACAACAACGACGACGACGACGACGACGACGGCGAAAGATCCTCTCCTAGCAGGCGGTGGCACCTTCGGTAGAGTCCGTCCTCCGAGCAGCGGAGGCCGTCGCCCCGTCTTGCGATCGTGGGTGCACCGATCGCCATGGCTTCACAGCAAAATAAGCAATCGGTGACCACGGGGCACTGACTGGTATGCCGCGCGGCTGGCTGGTTGAACTGGTGCCTTATCATCACCATGCTTAGCAGCATCGCCATCATCATCATCAGCATCATCATCATCACCGCCATCATCAGCATCATCATCATCACCATCAGCATCACCAACACCACCACCATGACCATAACCATTCATCAGCATCAGACTGATCATCATCCCATCATCATCATAATCAGCATCATCAACATCACCACCACCATGATCATCATAATCATCATCACCATCATCAGCATCATCAGCATCATGAGCATCATCGTCAGCAGCAGCAGCAGCACCGCCATGATCGTAACATCATCATCATCATGGACATCATCAGCATCATCATAAGCAGCAGCATTGCCAGCATCATTATCAGCAACATCATCATCGCCATCATGAGCATCAGCAGAAGCATCAGCAGCATCACCATCATCAACGTCATTATCAGCAGCAGCATCGCCTTCATCATCAAAAACACCAAACTCATCCTCAATATCATCATCAGCAGCAGCATCAGCATCATGATCAGCAGCATCAGCAGCAGCATCACAATCATCAAAAAGGACGAGATCCTCATCAACTAAATCATCGCCACCATCGTCATGATCGTCGTCATCACCGTCGTCATCATCCTCAGCATTGGCATCAGTATCGTCATCGTCAGCACCATCAACATCATCGTCGTCAGCGTGGTCGCCATGGTCATCGGCAGCCTCCTTGACACCATCGTCATCACCAGCACCATCATCATCCTCATACTGATGGTGAAAAAACATAACCAGTATCAGAATCATCATCAACAGCCGTACAAGCACAAGCATTAGAATCAACAACAACAGCATCACCATCATCCTCATCAACATCACCATCATCATCATCATCCTCGTCCTCAACCTCATCCTTATCCTCATCATCATCAACGGCATCGTTACCATCAGCATCATCATCATCAACATCATCACCATCACCCGTGTCAGTGCCACAACCACCATATCATTCTTACTCTCAGTACCATCACCATCACCATCGCCAGCATCATCATCCTCATCTGGATCAGCATCACCATCATCATCAGCATCATCATCATCATCTGCATCGTGATCATCATCATCAGCATCATCATCCTCCTTAGAAAAGATCATCAACAGCAACATCAACATCGTCATCATCATGTGCAGAATACTAATAAACATAACCAACATCATCCTCATCATCATCATCATCATCATCATCACCATCATCATCCGTGTAATCGCCACAACCACCATATCGTAACAACTTCCAGTACCGTCACCATCACCACCATTGCCACCATCATCATCCTTGTCCTCATCCACACCCTTATCCTCATCATCGTCATCATTACCATCAGCATCATCATCATCAACATCATCAGCATCGTCATCATCGTCATAAGCAGCATCATCATATAATCAAACTCATCATCATCATCAGCATCAGCATCATCATCATGTGCTAAAAACTAAAAACATAACCAACATCATCATCATAATCAGCATCATCATCAGCATCATCATCACCTGTGTAATCGCCACAACCACCAAATCCTCATCATCTTCGCCATCACCAGTAACTATCCAGTACCATCACCATCACCACCATCGCCACCACCATCATCCTCATCATGATCACCACCATCATCATCATCATCATCATCATCATCATCATCATCATCACCATCATCATCAGCATCACCATCATCATCATCATCATCATCATCATCAGCATCATCATCATGAGCATCATCCTAAGAATAAAAATCATCATCAGCAGCATCAGCATCAACATCATGTGCAGAATACGAGTAAGCATAACCAACATCATCATCATCATCATCATCATCAGCAACATCATCTTCAACAACAACATCATCATCATCATCATCATCATCATCATCATCATCATCATTACCATCCGCCACCTCCTCCTCGTCCTCTTCCTCATCCCCACTCTTGCTACTCCCTCCTTCCTCATTCCTCACCTCGCCTCATCCTTCTACTCCATTCCCCCCTCTCGGCCCCCACGCAGAGCTGGGGCTCCAACGCGCATGGGCCTCCAGCGTGCCTCGATCGTCATCGCCGCTGGCGCGCTTGTGTACAGAGTCAGAAGGGAGTGGAAGGAGACCGGATCAACAGAAACATGGCCGAGTGTGCAAAGGTAGAGTCCGGTCGATATGGAGAAGGTAGGGGCCCCTCGGATCGTAGAGCCAGAATGGGCTGCGGCGAGCGAAGATAAAAACCAGAACGAGGGGAAAGAGGGGGTTGAAGGGGAAAGGAGGCGACAGTGTCCGATCGCCACGGGGTAGCTGCGGATCTTTGATCTGACGCGTCCTCCCTTGCAGTTCATGTCAGTACCCAAGAACTCATAAAGGCGGATCGCCCCTCGCAGCGACAGGAAAGACGGAGCACGTAGAGGATGGAGCATGGAGCATGGAGCGTGACGCATGGAGCGTAGAGGGCGGAGCATGGATCCTAATGCATGGAGTGCGCCAGTGACCACCACCATCATCACCACAACTACCACGACGACCACCACCACCACAACCACTAGCACCACCATCATCATCATCATCACCACCACCACCATCACCATCGTCATCGTCATCCGAATGGTCATCATCGTCATCGGCAGCATCATCGGCAGCGGCATCATCTTCGGCATCGGCATCCTCATTATCATCACCACCACCACTATCATCATCAGCATCAGCAGCATCATCAGCATCATCATCAGCTGCTGCAATATCAGCATCCTCAGCAGCATCACTATCATGATCAGCAGCATCAGCAGCAGCATCAGCAGCAGCATCACCATCATGTTCGTCATCAGCAGCAGCAGCATCATCATCAGTATCACCACCGCCACCACCACCATCATCATCAGCAGCATCATCATCACTATCATCAGCATCGTCATCATCAGTATCGTCATCATCAGCATCATCAGCATCATCAGCATCATCAGTGTCAGTATCATCGACGTCATCAGCAGCATCAGCATCAGCACCATCATAATCAGCATCACCATCAGCACCATCACCATCACCATCACCAGCACCAACATCATCATCATCAGCATCATCAGCATCAACATCAGCAGCATCAGCATCAACATCAGCATCATCATGATCACCATCATTTTTGATATCCTAAAATATGCCGAGGGGGTTGGTCTATCGTGTTTTCACCTGGCGTGCTGGTAAATATGATGTTTAGTGTGTAAGCCTCAAACTAGAAACGGAATATAATAAAACGAGTCACTGGTGCGTTGCGGTTTTAGCTACGGTTTCTGAGCTGTCAGATCAAACGGTTGCAGTGTTTGACAGTGCCGTCTACAAACGCTCCCAGTTCCTTCCCCTGGCGTGCAATTCTCCCTATATTGGACTGTCAGTAGCATTGCTCCGCTTGCTTTTCGGGCGTCGGGCCTCTGGGCCCAAGAGGGCCCGAAGACGGGCCAAGAGAGCTCCGAGGAGGCCCCCAAGACGGTCCAGGAGGGCGCCGAGTCGCCGAACGATCGCACCAGGACGCCCAAGACGGCCCCACGGCTGTCCAAGGGGCCTCCAGGACGCCCCAAGAGACCGCCAAGAGGCCCCCCTAGAGGGCCTCAAGATGCAGAGATCAGTGACGTTCCTCGGCTTGTTGAAGGGCGTTGGCCGTCTCGCCTGACGGCCCAAGACGCTCCCAAGATCACCCCAAGACTGCCCAGGAGGCCTCCAAGAGGGCCCCAAGACTGCCGAAAAGCGCCCCAAGACGGCCCAAGAGGCGCCGAAGGCGGCCCCAAAAGGGGCCCAAGAGAAGGAGCACGAACCATAAGTCCTAGCCTCCCGCCCCATGAGGGCCCCAGGAGGCCCCAAGAGGCGCATAACAGGCCCAACAGGCCCCCAAGAGGCACCCAAAAAGGCCCGAAGAAGCCACCCGAAGGCCCAAAGCGACCCCAAAGAAACATCAAAACTGCCTCCAAGAGGTACCCGAGAGGCCTCCCACGAGATCCCAACGAGAATCCGATTGGCTTCACACCCACAACCCAGGCACGGTGGCGGGCCGAAGGCCGTTAGATACGAAAACAGGACAAGCACCACAGGCCTCCAAGATCCCACAATACATAGCGCAAGAGGGCTTACGATAGCTTCCAGCATGCCTCCAAGAGGAGCCAAGACCGGCCACAAGCGGCCACAACGCCTCCCAAGGAGACACCCCCCCGAGAAGCCAAAACACTTCCAGAAATCTAAGGAACCGCAACGTGGTTGCAACCTCGGCCGTTCGCTTCCGATGGGTTGCTCAGACTTCAAGATGGCCCGAGGGAGCCCCAAGAGGGGCCCAAGAGGGGCCCAAGACGGCCTCAAGAGCGCCCCAAAGCGCGCCAAGAGGACCCCAAGAGGTGCTGCTAGGCGGGTCGGAGTCCGATGTGTAGTGCCCAGAATTACCACGCCCGAGAATGACCTAGCCCCTGAGTAAACTGCCTGGGATTGAACTGCCCCGACTGTAGGCCCTCGGGATTGAACTGCCTAGGTACACTCTGCTGCAACACCCAATGCTCCATGTGCGCGGGGCGAACAAATCGTCGAGGGGAAAGGTAGAGGGAGGCGGTGAACAGCAATGAGGAGAATGCAAGGGTTCACGTCAGTGGACGATGGCAGGGTCAGCTCGGTTGCATGATCCTGGCAATATGGAAACGCATGAGACCCTGTGATCAAAACCCCACCAGCCCACCACGGCGTGGGTGGTTTAGGGTGCTTCCTCTTCCACACTCCTCCTCATCCTCCTCATCCTCCTCCTCCTCATCATCCTCCGGGAGAGGGGGTACCTTTCCTCGGCCCACATGGCATGTGCGGCGAGCCTCGCGGGCGTCGCGCACATGGCCGGCGTCTGCATCGGTTCCCAACGGCTGTCGATGACGGCCCCCGTCTGTACCGAGACCCGAGTGTTGCTTATGCAGCAAGAGGGCGGCTGGGAGCGAGCGAGACAGCCTGCGGCGTCCCCGCGGGGAACGTGACCCCTCCCCCTGTACCAGGGTTGAACCTAAACGTCGTTGTTCGTTTTATTTTCGTTTGGTTGTTCGTGTTGCTCTACCTGTTTTCCTGTACCTCCACGCCAAAACGAAAAACAAAACACGGCCGAAGTCCAGCAAAACAGCGTTTAGGTCCAGCCCTGCCCTGTACCCCCTACCACTGGGTCGGGACGCGGTGCCCCGCGAGCGGTCAGAGGGCCCAGGCGAGCCCAAGATGGCTCCAGGAAGGCCTCAGACAGCCCAACATGGCCTCCAAGATGGCCAACAACAGCGCAGGATCGATCAAGGTGGCGTCCGACATGCTCCAACCGGTCCCAAGACCGCTCCAAGACAGGTGCAAGTGGCCTTGGGGGCTCACCAGAATACGCCCCCGAGAGGCCAATGCCCTGACCAGCCCCAAGCGAAACACATGCGGTTGGCCTTTTCGCCCGTGCGCTGCCGATGGCCTTCCGAGACCTCAAAACGGCTCCAAGAGAGCCCAAAAGGGTCCAAGGAATCCTTCTTCTTTGATCGATGTCCTCCAAGATGGCCCCGCGAAACCACCACAAGGCTCCCTAGAAAGCCCCAAGATTGCCCCAAGAGGTTCCTAAGAAGCTCCAAAGAGACCCCCAAGGCCCCCAAAACGCCCCGAAAGGCCCCCACAAAAGCCCCCATGAAGCCCCCAAGAAGCCCCCAAGTCGCCGTAAGAGGCCGCCAAGACCCCCGAGGAGACATTTCCAGCAACTTCGCGAAACATCCTAGAGGCCTCCCGTTCACCAGAGGTATCCAAATGACGCCACGCTTCCCGAGAAGGACAGGTCCTCTAGGCATCGTTCTTGGATGGGCTGCTGGAGATACTTTTTTGATTGGCGGCTCCAAGGAAGAGCCCAGGAAGCGGGGCAAGCACGTCTGGGGCACAGGCGAGATAATTGGTTACGACGAAGGCGCCTAGGCCGACGCAACGAGTGCACCTGCAAGAGGCAAAATGCCCCCCATTACGATGCAAGCGACCCGAGAACGGGGACGCAGGCACCAGACTGGAGTAGACGGAGAGAAGACGCACAGTGGCGCCAGCTCAAGCCGCGCAGCCCAGAGAGCGCAGGCAAGGCCCAAACAGCGAAGTGGCAGGACAGTGGGCACGTGGGGCCGCACCGCTCACCACTCGGAGGCAAAAGAGCGGGGAAGGCGCGGGCAGAAGAGGGGTGGCTGGGGAAGCCTCACTCACCCACTCACTTGAACTCAAGGGCGCGAGTCGCCGTGAGCCCTTGACCAATGCACTGACGTCGATGCAGCCGCGGAGTCCGAACCTAGACTGCTAGACCTGGAGTGCCGGGGGAACAGCAGCAAGCGTGGCCTAACACCATGGTCCCCTCGTAGGAGAGCGTGAGTACTGACAAAGGATGAACCACTTGAGCAGTATCAGGAGCACGAGGGAGGCTCCCGCCCAGAGGTGAACCACGTCGTCGGCGAACAACGCAGGCAGCTTATCCATCACGGAGGACGGGGGAACCAAGCGGCGTGCGTCAGACGGGGGCCGTGGTGGACCAGAAGGGGGAACGTCGATAGTCGCGCAAAAGGTGTACCACTTGCCGAACCGCACTCACCCCAGGTCCAGCCCCCGGTGGTGTCGGGGCAGGCGGAGGCCCGAGTTGTCAGAACAACACGAGGCGGCAGCGCGGCCCGACCATGGGGGCTCAGCAAGGGAGCCGCAATGTGGTGCATAGACCCGAGTGCTCGTAGAGCCTCGGTGGGGGGAAATCGTGTGCGGCCGAAACCGCAGGAGGAGGAGGGGGGGGAGGAGGAGACGCAGCCGATAGCCGCAAAATCAGGTGAATCAAAGGAGGAGGGGAAGGCGACGCCATGTCAGCGAGACCTTGGCCACTGTGAACACACGGCGCGTGGCGGTGGGACCTCGGTAGCGGGGGGAACAGCGCCTGATCAAGCTGGGGGACGCTATGTCCCAGCTGCAGGGCAGCGTCGTCGGGGGGGAAGCACGTGAGGTGCAACGCGTTGGGCTGCTGGAGATACGCGAAGGGCTAAGAATTACTTTCAGGGTTCGAATGGTCTGCCAATGAATGAGCAACCGAAACTGCCTGAGCACTGTGTTTGAATGGCCGTGCACTTCAGACCTAAGCCAAAGCCTCGCGGACTCAGAGCCTCTAACGCCAGGGTTGAACCCTGGACCGTCCGCAGCGTCGGGCTGCGAGCTTCGAGGAGGAGGACCGTGGGCGCCGAAGAGAGGGAGATTAGAGCATGATGGCCGATGACCCGAGGCAGAATGCGTGCGGACGAAAGAAGGCAGGGGACGCATGGAAAGAAGACGACGGGGCCAGAGATTGAGACTTCATGG